AGCCACTATATACCCATTATACAGCCCATTATAGGTTTGGGGTCCCTATTAAGGGTCCCTCCCTTTCCCCTTTGAGAAGGGTTTCGAGAAGCTTTCATTCAAAGTGCACCCTAAGCCCTGAACCCCACTTGGAGGCCCAGGGGACTTAGCCTTAAAGGGTTCCTTAAAGGGTTCCTCTAAGGCTTCCTTAAAGGGCTCCGTAAAAGGGATCTATAAGGGTTCTATAAGAGGGATTAGGGTGTATTTAGAGGCCCAGGGGACTTAGTAAGTAGGCTATAAGTAGGGTTATAAGTACCCTAAATGGAGTTACCACAATTATAACCCTACTTATAACCGACTTACTAAGTCCCCTGGACCCCAAGGATGATGGTGGTGACAACGAGGACACTTCGGGGTTCTTGAAACTTTCTGCTGTTTTTGAATCGCGGTTTAGGGTTTGGGGTTTACCCATAGGCCCCAAAGTAGTTCCTTTCGGGGGTTCATATGTAGAATCCTGCTAAAGGGTAATCCCAAAAAGGAACTACTCTGGGGCCTATGGGTTTAGGATGCTTATTGAATTGTGGTGGGCCGCGACGACTATCTTTGTTGCTACCTACCGTAGTCTTGCGTCCCCGGCTGCTTTGCTGAAGTAATCCTGAGTCGGAACCTCTGAATCCCTGCATCGAAAACTACCCAAGTGCTGCGATGCCCGATGCGTGTAACGTTTTCGTTTGGGGCTTAGGGAAATCCAGAACCACAAGCCTACATCTCAATGCCTCCCAAGTGGTAGGTTGAGAAATCGGATGGTTTCGGGATTAGGTGTAGAGTTTGATTTAAGCTTCGTGCATAAAAGCTGTTGAGGCCTTTGGCCTATGCAGTTTATGGCTTTAGGGGTTTCTTCCGGCCCCAAGCCGAAATGGGAAATTTATCAGGCCCTTCTTCAAACAGACCCTCGGGCTTGGGGTTTGGGCTAGGGTTTAGGGTTAGACTCGGGCTCTAAGAGCACAAAGAAAGTCTTGTCATAAAGACTGCCGGAATTTCGTCAACCGCTGCCAAACCATCATTGAAAACCCTCATACACGTAGCCCCTGTACTATGCCTTACTATGCCTTTCTGTACAACACTACACTGCCCATATACCTCAACCCTGAAAGCCGAAAACCCTAAAACCCTAAACCCTAATAAAGCCTAAGCCTGCAAACCCCTAAACCCCTAAACCCTCAAACCCCTAAAACCCTAAATCCTAGAGCCCTAAACCCCTTAACACCAATGTACTTTTCTGCAAAAACCACCTAGTGGCCCTCATCCCTCGAAGCATTCAGAGAGCCTGGACGAGGTGATTCCACAGCCGGGGTGCATGTCGCACCTGATCAGTCACTTCAGGGTTTAGGGTTTAAGTTACTTAGGGTTGAGGGTTTAAGGTACTTCCGGTTGAGGGTTTAAGGCACTTAGTTTAGGGTTTAAGGTACTTAGGGTTTAGGGCGTAGGGGTTGAGGGCTTAAGGTCTTTAGGGTTTGGGTGCAGAGTTGAGGGTTTGTGGGTTTGCGGTATAGGTAGGATTTGGCGTAGGGCTTGGGATTTAGTCTGCTTTCCCTCTGAGCGTTGAACGCGCAAAGACCTCATAGAGCAGCGCCAGGTGCAAGATATCAACTTCAAGTACCATCCCAAACGCACATAGACTCGTCCCATGGTCTGCAAACGGGTGAAGCGTGGCATCACCACGGCCCAGGTGCATTCTTGCAGCAATTGGCCACAAACGCAGCTAAATTAACTGAAGCATACGCGCCGACAGCCCGTTCGAAGGAGCGAAAGCATAAAAGTAGCAAAGAAACGACCGTTTCCGCGGCTGAGAGCCTCCTAAAAGCCATAGCACTGACAGCTCCAAGCGTTATGGGCTTCTATATCTAAGGGTCAGTAGCCCCTTGTCCGTCTAAAGCCAGTTCTGGGGTCTTGTTACTTAAGGAATTTAGTTTAACATAATGGGGATCTACGGTACATAAAATGGTTTGTATATTCAACTTAACTAAACTCCTTAACAAGAACCCAGCTTATCTACAGGCCATTTTCGGACCCCTTCGCCCTTGTAAAGCCTGCCGCACAGCTGCCGGCCACATCATGAATGAAACTTAAGCAGTCTGATGGCCAAAAGCGCTAGAGAAAGGCAGGCCGTCTGATTCCATCGGCTACTCCACACGTGTTTAACAGCTTTGCCAGATTGTGATGTACGTCAGGGGTTGGATCATACCTTGACGATTTGAAACTACAGCCATGGCCACCGTCATCTCGACAGTTTGCTTGAAGGCTTGGGCTACTACTTCGGTATTCTGGCTGGCTGTATCTGTGTTGACCGTGGGTTGCTGTGGCTTTCTGAGTCTGACGATGGTTCTCGGCTTCATCGCTACGATCAAGCAATGAATAATCTTGGCGGCAGGTGTCAAGTTCTTATGGCGCGTGTGGCATTTCGCCAGTACCTTCACATCTACCCGGACTACGGCAAGCTTTGAACCAGCTGGCAGCACACCGGCAGAGACACTCCAACAAGAAGATCGTACTCCTGAACGCTAGTCCCTGCGCCCTGAAACCCTTCACCCCAACTACCGAGGATCCTGGTAGCATGACACTTTGAAAGCCGAGGCTCATGAAGTCAGGGGCATACCCATAGGCCCATAGTAGTTCCTTTTTGGGGGTTATACCTTACAGGATTCTAAATATGAGCCCCAAGAAGGAACTACTTTGGGGCCTATGGGCTAGGCCCTCGAGGCTTGGGAAAGAAGTCCTTTTCAACCCAGCGAGGAGAAGTGGCATCCTCGAGGGAGCTTTCGGATGTATGCGTTTCGGTTAATGGCGAAACCTGATTAGGAAAACTTGGGCCTTTATTGGGGTTCAAAAAATATGAATCCTAGTATTGTGGTGGTATTCTAAGCCCAGGGTTCCTTCATCAATTGATCAGGTTCCTACATTTCCCACTCCCACTCCAACACGTTTAGTTTCCAAGCAGACCTTAAGTTGTAGAGTGATCCTTACTTGGAGGTTCATGGGTAGTGATAAGCAGGGCTATAAGTTCCCTAGTATGGGTTATAAGTAAGTCTAGTTATTTTATTCATAACCCTACTTTACCTACCCATGGACCTCCATGTAACAATAGTAACGTAGTACAGTGGAAGGTTCATCTTGAATCAAGGGGGTTTGGGAGTCTTTGCGTACTTGCCTCGGTGCCCCAAGCCTACCACCTCAACTCCAAGACCCCTAAGCCCTAAACCCTACTTGGAGGGTCATGGGACTTGGTAAGTAAGGTTATAAATAAGGTAACTATGCTCATAATTACTTATAACCCCAATTAAGGTACTTATAACCTTACTTACTAAGTCCCAGGATCCTCCAAGTAAACCCCAAACCCTGCACCCTAAACCCCACGCCCCAAGATCCAGAGGCTCCTAGTAACCTTTGAGAGAGCCACGTTGTGAGTTTTTGGGGGGTATAGCCCAATCAAGGGTCTAAGGGTTTCTTTGAAGGCCATTCAAAGGTTTCGGGTATACTAGAATTAACCCTAAACCCTAAACCTTGCTATCAAATGCCCCAGCGCATTTGGGATCCCCAGAGCCTCGAAAGCACGTAGGGTTTCGGGCGCAGCGTCCAGGGATTGGGGCTTGAGGTTCAGTTTTAGGGGTTTAAGGTTTAGGGTTCAGGGTTGGTTACACTCCCTTACTCCCCAATAAGCCACAGAAATAAAAGGTCACACTTTCGGAAATCCTACGAAACTCTAAGAACCCAAGAAGTTTCAAGGCTGGGTATTGGGGATCTAAGTCGACCTTAACTGCCGTGGAAGCTGAAGGGACCAGATAGTTACAAGTCAGTAGTGAGCTTAGTCAAGGGTACACCTGAACTCTCTGAACGCTTCTAAGTGTCCTACTACAACAGCCTCACTAGAGTTCACGAGCCTCACAAGTCCTAAACCCTGCACCCGCAAAACAAACGAACCCCAAACCCCGAGACCTTTATGTATGGAAACTGAACGAAGCCTTACCCAGAGGCCCCATAGTAGTTCCTTTTTGGGACTACCTTATAGAACTCTAAATATGAACCCCAAAAAGAAACTACTATGGAGCCTATGGGTAAACGAAATCTAAAAAGCACGAATACACGTGACGAGGCGCTAAACCCTAAGAAGTAGCAGGCTAGAACCCAGGCCGACACCCCGAAATTCCAGTAGGAAAGCACAATGCATACGTCCGTATATAAAGACGTACATACGATATAACACACGCAGAACTCTGTCACGACTCAGACCCTAAACCCTAAACCCCCTAACCCTTAGACCCTAAACCCTAAACCCCTTAACCCTTAGACCCTAAACCCTGAACCCCGTAACCCTTAGACCCTAAACCCTCAACCCCTTAACCCTTAGACCCTAAACCCTAAACCGCTTAGCCCTTAGACCCTGAAGCCTATCCCCTAAACCATTGCGACTGGCTGTGCGTTTGTTGTCTCGATCTGCCAGCGTTCCCGCGCTCCGAAGCTACGCTGACATCCCTCCGAGTAACAAGCATCTGCGGGTGCACATAAACCTAGATCTATGTATGTGCATGCACAAGTATGTATGTATGTATGTATGCAATTGTGCATCTATGAAAGTATGCATATATGCATCTGCATATGTAGGTATGTAGTGTAGGATGGCAAGTAAGAACGTAAAGATGCATGTATCTATGGAATGTATGAGGCTTGTATCACGTTGCAAACTCTAAGTGCCAAACCTTTGCCGAGTCACCAGAAACATTTAGCGTGACAGTACTAAGAGTAACATACATACCAAGAGAAAGCAGTCATGACGGGCGTTAGTCTCAACCAGTACCAACTATACGAACAATCACAGCTTTCTTGAGTAATGACACTAGTAAGGGCATAAGACTGCAATCTGCCTTGCGTCTACATTATGTCCCACCTGAGGTGGCGTAGACACCCGAAACGAGCATCAACCCCAAACTCTCTTAAACCCTAAATCCCAAACAGGGCATGCAAGTTCAGCTACCATCGCCCTCATCGTACTCCTCATGCAGGTTCGCCTCGATGTCTTCGGGCGGAAAAAGCAGGTTAAGGCTTTAGGATTTAGGGTTTAGGGTTTAAGGTTTAGGGTTTTTTTGGGTTTAAGGTTTAGGGTTTAGGCTGTAGGGTTTAGCGGTGCTCTATAGCTGGATGGGTCACGTAGGCAGCGAAGGGGCTTCGGTTAAAGGGTGAGCGACTTTGGTGGTTTAAGGCTCGTGGGTTTCAGAAATAGCACCCGGGAGAAAGAGAGGGTTTTGAGTGTAATGTAGGGGCATTCATAATTAGAATAGGGTTTGGGGTAGATGATATTATACTTGTAATGGGGAAACCCTAAAACCCTATTGAGCCCCTCACACTAACTGCTAGAGCACAACGGGGCTTCGGGTTTGAGGGTCAGGGCTTTGCACTCCAAGGTTTGGGGAATTTGAGTTCAAATCTGTGCAGTTGACGGTTTGCGGTTGCAGTTTGGAGATGACCTCTTCCACCTGACACCTTTACACCAAAGCGAAAGGCTTTTCCAGAGAGCCCCGCTTGCTTTAAATGCTGGGCTTCTTGTCATGGTGCAGCAATGCTTACGAAAGCATTCTGAGACGAAACGCCCAGTTCAAAAACCGTCATAACCTAGCACACGGTTCTTTCAAACCCCACCCCCTGAACCCTAAACCCCTGCATCCCCTGCACATTACTTACCTGTCCCGTTTCCTAGGGGAACGCAACTTCAGCTGCACCTTTGGGTTACATACCGGGTATAGAACCCCAACAGGCCGTAGACAAAGGCGACATGCTTCTCTACTAAGGTTGATAAACAGGTATGAAGCCCGATGCCAGGCTGCACCCAATGCCTTAAATCGCCTTAACCCCTAAACTCATATGGGTGGTTGATAAAATTATGGTCCCGTTTTGGGTACCCCAAACATTAGGTGCCGTATTATAATAGGGACCCAAAAAGGGACCATAATTTTGACAACCACGTATATCCTCCGTCAGGCTGCAGTGGAAGTTGAGAAATGTGTCGACAGCAGGCTGACTCCTGGGATTGAGGCGGTCACGATTCAGCTATACTGAACTTAGAACCCTAGCAAGAATTATGATTTTAGCTGTTTCTTAGGGATTATAATATCCAAAAATATAGAAAGTATTTCTAAGTACCCTCTAGGTTCAAGGTTCGTCGGGTCATAGCCTTCAGCCCTGATCCGTGCAAGGAGCTCAGCTCCAGGCACCAAAGGAAAGCTACATCATCTACTTTCTGGATACCGTCTATCCTGTTATGTACGGTAACTTAGAAGCACTAACATATTGGGGAAAAAATGTGTTTCCGAAATCTGCTAGTTCGATACGGTAACTTAATTAAGAACCTCGAAGACAAGAAGCCAGCCAACCTGTCGTTTTGGGCTCTGCAAGGTCGTGAACAGGGCCTCTGTAGGTCTCGTGTTTGGTTGTAAGACTGACGATTTGAACCTGAATCTTTCACCAAGTTCCGCGGGTACGCTGCTGACCTTAACACCTGTTGCAACTGTGATTCTGGGTCGGTCGGAGCCTTGGCCCTAAACCCTTGTAGCTAGAACGATCATCAAATCTGCAGCTCGGCCACTGTCCCCCTTCCACGCGTCGTAGGTCCTCGGCTCCGATGCCATCGGTTTAGGGTTCAGGGCAAGTTTGTAGCTTACTCCCCCAATAAGCCACGGAAATAAAAGGCTAAACTTTCTGATTCCTACTCAACCACAAGAACCCAAGAAGTTTGAAAGTTGGGTATTGGGGATCTGAGTGTAGGGCTCAGGGATCCCGAAACCTTACGCTTGAAACCCTAAGCCCCACACCCGAAAGCACTACTTGGAGGGTCGGGGGACTTAGTAAGTAGTAACTAGACTTATAAGTACCCTAAAAGGGACCCTAATTGGAGTTATGGTACTTACAAGTCCCTAAAATAACTACTTACTAAGTCCCCCGACCCTCAAGTGTTGAATCACAGGCTTAAGATGTCAGCCAGGAGTAATGAAAAGGCTCAGGGCCCGATCCCTGCACATGGGCTCTCTAAAGGATTCTTTGAGGCCTCTATGGGAGTTTCCGAAAATAGGGGTACCGTATTTTGTGGTCCTTATCATAAGGATCCTACTATTTCGGGTACCTTATTTGAGTCCCCCATTTTCGGAATCTCCTCTATCAGGACTGTAATTAGGGTTCCACAACAACTCTACAAAAAGTTCTCTGACTGAGAACTTCAGGAATGAGAAAGCCTCAACCACGAAACTCTGGCTTACGGTTTCAAGTTTCAAGCGCCGTGGAGCCCAAATTCCTGAAGAGCCACACGAACCTGAGGGCCTGAGGACTTCTCTCGATCTCCCCTTCGCGGCTACGGTTTTGGGGGTTTCAGAGGTTGTAGGCCTGGGGGTATTAAGTCGATGTTCAGGATGTAGCGTCGATCAGTTTTTGTTGGAGGCTTAGGGATCAGGGTCCCAAGGTGAAGAAATTCTGCCTCAAGGTCAAAGCTTTAGGACTTTTGCCGGGGTTCTTGGGATTCAGCCTGAGCGACCATAATAAGGAAACCATGTTATTTGCATTAGTTCCCAAAAAGGTAATTTAAACTAAATCCTTTAGCCAGAACCCAGCTAAGGACTATGGGTTACTTTTTGATTCCGGGTTCTACAAGTCTGTAAGGTTTCGATTATTCGTACTATTCCCTGGGGTTGCCTAGTAGAGTATGAGCTTTTGGCAGAAACACACACACACACACACACACACAAATCCCAGTCGAACACTTCGGCTAAGCCTGTGGCTTGCGCGTTTTGAGAAAGAAACCGGGAGCTCTGCTGAACACCAGGGGTATCGAAGAGTTTAGGGTAGAGAACTTAGTCATCCCCCCCTTCTCCTTACCTACACCCCCAAGCCCTAAATAAACCCTAAACCCTAAACCCCAAACCCCTAAACTCCTCAACCCTAAAGGCTACACCCCTAAACTAAACTCTAAACCCCAAACCCCTAAACTGCTAAACCCTGGAAGCCCTACACCCCTAAACACAACCCCACACCCCTGAACCCCTAAACTTCAAAGCCCTAACCCTACTAGGAGGGTCGGGGGACTTAGTAAGTAGTTATTTTAGGGACTTGTAAGTCCCATAACCCCCAATTAGGGTCCCTTTTAGGGTACTTACAAGTCTACTTACTACCTAACTAAGGAATATAGCTTAAATCATAATATGAAGCCCTGTATAATTTAAGCCATGTTCCTTAACTAAGGGGTATTGGGCTCTCTGGGTAACCCTGGACTCCACAATCCGAAAGCCCAGGATCTGCTTCGAGGTCTGGCCGAGCTCGATCAGCTGACCGGCCTCAAGTTGCTGTGTGGTTTAGGGTTTAGGGTTTAGGGGTTTGGGGCTTAGGGGTCTGGGGGTTCAGGGTTTAGGGTTTATGGGAGGATCTGAAAAACAGATTCCCGAATTTGGGGACCGTATACTACTAAAGAGTGGTTTATAGGAATGTCCTTGCTGCAAGGGATCAATTAGGTGCAGGATTACTGAAGGTTGTTCTATCGGAGTCCGCCTACACCCTAAACCCTGCTAAACCTATGCCCTAGATCCTCCCAATGGTCTGGGCCCGAAGCTCCCATAGCTTTGGGATTCAAGGGTGTCGTGTTGTTCCTTCTCTCATCCCCCCTGTGCTTCCTTCCTCCTCGCTTCCCGCGGCCGGCATGGAAGAAAAAAAGAAGGACCGAGAAAATGCGCCTTCCGCAGATAATGCCTTCAAAACACCCAGAGAGCCCAATACCCCTCAATTAAGGAATATGGCTTAAACTATATGGGGCTTCATATTATGATTTAAGCTATATTCCTTAATCTAGGGGTATTGGAGCCCTAAACCCTAAACCCTAAAGATCCCTTATAGATCCCTTAAAGGAACCCCTAGGTATTCCTTAATTAAGGGGTATTGGGCTCTCTGGGCAGAAGAGAGCCCCCCTCTGTTTTGTGATACAATGTCTCGTGTCCTGGAGATGAATAAACACGGCGGTGCTCAAATACACATCCAAAACTTCCACCGCTAAAGCTTAATTACGAAATACTGAAATCCAAAATCCTGGCATCTACTTGACTGCCGCGGACAATTTCCAAAAAAGCCTCGGATCTGTTCAGCAGGCAGTGTCTGAGTTTCGCATCCCGAAAGCCACGAACACGTGAATGCTAAAACATGCGAGTGTCCGACCCTGAAGCTCACCAAATGCAGGGTTTCGTGTCCTGAAAGCTACGAAAGAAACACTGTAACGTACAATTCCAAAATTTCAGAAACCCTGGACTATAAGAATCTTAATCATCTGCGGTTCCAACTCAGGGGCTCATGCTGTCAAATTCGGAGGCCTCACAAGGTGGGATGAAGGTAGGTGGGATTAAGGATCCCTTACATAAGGACTCTTATTTGGGAATATCCCACCTACCTTCATCCTACCCTCTGAGGCCCCCGACAAATACATCTACTCAAGACTCCGAAGCTTACACATCAGCCCCACCATCCTAAACCTTGCACTCTACAAGCCTCTGACTGGAGCCCCACATTGAAAACCCAGAAACCCTGAATCGTACTAAGACCCGTCACCCCAACAAAAACTAAACCTCCAAACCCCCTAAACCCTTAAAACCCACAACCCCCAAACCCTAAAACCCAACACCCTCAACTTGGCGGAAGAAAACCTGAAATTTCAGAGATTAACGATGGCAAGTGCCGAGAGCCCTGCTCGCACCATGGACGTGACGGTTAAAGTCGCAGCCTGTAACTGGTTTAGGGGTGCAGAGGTTCAGAGGTTTAGGGTTGGGGAGTTTAGGGTTTAGGTATGTAGGGGTGTAGGGGTTTGGGGGTGTTGGGTTTCGTGTTGAGGGGTTTAGGGCTTAGAGGCTTGAAATCCGCAGAATGCTGTTTGCTGGAATCCTGACGGCGAGGTCTTCTGAAAACGGACCCCCGATCTCGAGAAGCCATGTCTTGAATGTGTCTGGTTAGGTTTAGGTAGTAGGGTTTAAGGATTAGGGTTTAGGGTGTAGGGATGAATGAGTCTGGCTAGTGCCCCTTGTGTCAACACTTACATGCTTGGACTGCAGCTGGGGGCAGCGATCATGTTATCACGCTAGCTTGTGACTCACTCCCATGCAAAATCCGAAACCAGAATCCAATCCTTCACCCCTCACCCAAACACCCCAATGGCCCAAAAGAACCCTAAACCCTAAATCCCACACCCCTCACGCAGACACCCCAAAAGGACCCCAAACCAGAACACTCCCCAGCGCTGGCTTCTAATTCGTATCTGCAACCCTAAACCCTAAACCCTAAACCCACAAACCCCAAACCCTAAACTCTAAACCCTGGACCCTGAACCCTAAACCCGAAGCCCTGCAGAAGCCCCAAAAGCCTCTTAGCCCTGCTGCAAAGGCACGCGAAGCCGCAAGAGAGCTTGCTTCTTGCGGTGGAACAGGGCCTCGTACCTTAGGGCTTAGGGTTTAGAGTATGGAACAGGGTCTCATACCTTTCTTAGGGCTTAGGGTGGCTTCAATAGTCATTTACCCGAGTCTATGATAATAGTAGCGTAGGTCAGGCTTTGGGAGAGGGTATGACTATTCGGTACTTGGACCCTCAAAGATCTCTGCGGGTCCTACAAGTTCTCAGCACAAGTTTGCATGCGTTATGCAGGGATAAATAGGCTATAGCAGGCTTCCATAGAAGCTTTGGGAACAAGTAATAGCATTCCCTGTTCGAACAGCTATACCCATACACTCCATAGTATCATATTTAGAAACCCATAAGGTAATCCCAAAAACGAACTACTATGGGGCCTCTGGGTAACTATATCAATACCTATACCGACTCCAAACCCCTCGTTCAGGAGAATATACACGTAGGGTCTTTGCTACGCTTCTGTCCAGGAGACTTGGTAACTCAGGATCCGTGAAAGGTTCCTTAAAGACCTCGTTAAAAGGGTTTAGGGTTCCTGAAACTTACTCCCCCAATAAGCCACAGAAATAAAAGGTTAAACTTTCTGATTCCTACTAAACTATAAGAACTCAAAAACATCTGTTAAAGGTTGGGCAGTGAAGTTTACAGTCAGGCATATGTCTGAATCAAACCCTACGCCCCTAAACCGTACACCCAAAACTGGGCTCTCAGCCTAGACCCCCCAACTACCTCGAGGGTCATACCCTACCCCTTTTTTAGGGTACCTAGTTTTATGGTTAGGTTCTTGGATATAGAGAAGTAGGTACCCTAAAAAAGGGGTAGGGTATGACCCTATAGGTACCCTCTAACATACCCCGAATACCCACGAGTAAGGGCCACAATATTACAGGGCCCCTGGAGGACTTCTACTTGGAGGATCATGGGACTTAGTAAGTAAGGTGATAAGTACCTTAACTGGGGTTATAAGTATAGTTACCCTAATTTTAACCCTAGTTACTAAGTCCCATGATCCTTTAAGTATGCCTAAGCCTTCTGGGACCAAAGATCGCAGAAAATGGACGTCCTGTTGGGATCCTCCAGACCTGACGTTAAGAGCACCAGGATGATGGTGTTACGGCTTTCCGGCTTCTATTCGAAGAGAAATATATGATTTGGCTTGCCGCCGCGGAGCTGTTCGACCTTTCCTTGGCGTCGCAGACAGGTCTCTTGAGTGGGCTCAGAGTGGGACCTAGACGCTGTTGGTTGTAATATAGGGGCCTTAATAATTAGAATAGGGTTTTGGGGCCCATTATACTACAATTATAATAAGGAACCCCCACAACAGTATAGGTAATTATTAAGGCCCCTACAGTACCGTCTGTTGGATAGCCTCTGATGTGTTGGGCTCCTGCAGTTACAAGCTAAAGTACTCAAGTTTCATTTCAGGTTGAGGGTTTCGGATACCGGGCATAGGTTCAGGGCTTCAACAAAAAGGCTTCAATGCTGGCATTCCTGCGAAGTCAACCAGTCAAGGCAAAGAGAAAATGCTGCCAAAGGAAATGGTACATAGAGGGTAAGGCTTGTAAAGTTTCGGGCTACCCTCTTTTCCTCTGCAAACCAGCACGGACCGAGTCGTCTGTAGAGGGGCCTGCTTCAATTTCCAGGTCAGTACATCTAAACTCCCCCGAGTGCGGTGCAATACTTTGGGGAAGCTCTGTTGCTCAGATATCGTTGGCTGTTTTGGGACTACATCCATCTAGATTCTGAACTCTAGCTTTGGGGAAGGGGCCTAGACACTTTGCAACGGAAATCAGGCATCATCACTTCCATTGAATAGCCTCTACCCGTTGCGCTCCTTGGCTCAAGATAACAACAACACCTCACGTGAGGCCAACTTAAACACACGAGAACACACACACACTCTCAATCGGTAGTCGCTAAGCCTTAGTCACTAGGCAGCATACTCACCCGTTTTTTTTGCGCCCTTATCCCAACGCTACCGCTACGCCCGTAAAACCTAAAAGCTACACCCCTTAATTGTAGCCTTTCGTGCTGCCAGGAATCGTACGTAGTAGCTGTCGTCCAGGATCGCCAGCAGAGGCTCTGCCCGGCAGAGGTAGTATCGCTGCGCGTAGACGGGCCAAATCTCCTGATTAGGGTAAGACTCCTTGGTTCTTAACAGGAAACGGGGCAATGGTCATAGTTACTGAAGGTAATCCCTATGGTCCTATGGTCCATTCCCTACTAAGAACCAGGGTGTAAAGTATAGGGTTCAGGTATCGAACTGTACATGTGAAATTTCCAGGCTTCACAGAAACTGAAACCCTACTTACCACCGCGGGCCCATGAACCTTGAACATCTGGAAAAGGCGAGGCACCCGTCCGGTCTTGTCTCTGACATCCACGATCTTCGTGTCCTCCGTGGCGTCTCTTGATTCGTGGGCCACGTTCCGGCTCCCGGTTCCGGGTTCACGGGTTTAGGGTTTAGGGTTTAGGGTTGAGGGTTTAGGGTTTAGGGTTTAGGGTTTAGGGGTTTAGGGTTTAGGGTTTAGGGATAAACTTTCAAAGCCCACTCTGCCAGTTTGGGACTTCAGACGTACGGCCCAACATCCCCAAGCATGACAAGATGATCCTTCACTTGCAGCAGAACCCCTCAATACAGCCGAAGGATGAAATCTTGCACTGCCCCATCCTAGATTGCATATGATGGCTATGAATCCCAGCAGAAGCATCGATGGGGCCGTTCAGCTCGGATTGCAATTGGACAGCACAACCAAAACCTCGAAACTGTGACAACAAAAGCTGCCGGTGTGATCTCCACGGCTTTAGCAAGCCTTGCTAGCTTTTCCGAGCTCTATCAATGAAGGCACAACCACTTTGCCAGAAAAAACATCTGTGGGGTTGATGCCACCCTTCGTGAACGAAGTAAAGACGGAATGCTCTGGAAGACGGTTATAGATATGTGAGGCTCCAAGTTTAGTACCAGCCAAGCAACCCGGACATCCCAACCCTAAACCCTAAACCCTAAACCCTAAACCCTAAGCCGTGTATGCTCACAACGACAGAACCCTGACTCCACCAAGCCTCTCCGCAGTCCGAAACCCAAAACCCCAAAACACCAGCAGCCGACTCGCAAGCACAAACCTGAACATGCAAACTAAACCCGAAAGGGGTTTAGGGTTTAGGGTTTGGGATAGAGAGTTTCCCCAACACTTGAACCGCTTGTACCGCTGGACCTTAAAGCAGAAACAAAGTCCCCAAAACCGCCCATGACCTTAAGCCCGAAGTCCCGTTCCAAACCCTAACCTCAATCGAAGTGTCCAAACCGCGGGCTTAATTAGGGTTCAGGGTTTAGGGTAAGACCATAAGACCCACAAAAAGAATCCCAAAACCCCGTCCAAGTCATCCAAAAGGATGTTGTCGTCGAAGAAGATGTGGTGGCGATGATGATCCCGGGTATCCACTAAGAGGGGTTTGCCTCGGCCCACACAAGGCACCTTGAATAGTGATAAGCAATCAAATTTGCTTTTGTTGACTCCTCTGTCCTTCTGCCCGGTTAGGAGTCGGAATGCCAGGTCTTTGGGAGGACAGGCCGAAGGTATTCACTTTAGGGCTCAGGGTTTAAAAGACAAGGATTAAAGAAGGATCAGGCTCAGGGCTCACGGTTGAGGGCTAAGCCTCCAAATAATAAAAATAATACTAACATTTTTTCAAAAAGAAAAACAATAATATGAAGAGGTCCTGGCTATGGTGCTTTGGGGATTTTGGGCTTCAGGGTTCCTTGGCAGAAACGAACCCTTGCAGGAACCCTGAAATGGTGGTAGTTCGGCAAACTTTCAACCCTAAACCCAGCAAGCCTTAAACCCCAAAACCTAAACCCTTTTGGAGGGTTTAGGGTTTCGGACAAATTGAACCCTAAAACCCTCCCGGCGCAGTCTGAGGCCGCGGCCGAAAGGCCCATGCTGCCCACCTCTAACAAAGAATGCAGGGAGGTGGCGGTACAAAAGTCGTAATGAATCTCGGCTCCAGAAGTTGTGGAGTTAATGCAGGGGCTTGTTAATCAGATTAGGGCTTGGGGTTTGTACGGTCCTTTCAAGATTCAGTTTCCATACAGCCTCTAAGACTCTACAAGGGTTTAGATCTAAAGCCACATGTACACCGTGAACCCTACAATTTGAGCCCTGAACCCCAAAACCCCGAAACTCTGAACCCTACACTCTACACCCTAAACCCCAAGTACATCCTCGACCCTGAGGCCCTAAGCATTCGGAATTGAAACCAACTACCTTAAACTACCAAAACCGCAGCGCCTCTATGTTTTCTGTATTCGGGCTTATAGTAAGAGCCTGCAAGAAAGTAGGTTATGGTAGGTTATGGTAGTTTATGGTAGGGCTTTAGAGAATCAGAGTTCGAGATTTGGGGTCCAAGATTCCACAATGTAATACGATTGTCGAGCACCCAGGTCAGGGTGGGGGCTAGAGGTTAAGTGTTCAGGGTCACATGAGCCTCTACATATTCTCCCACAGGGTCTAGCGCTAGGGTCCAGTGCTTTCGGCTCGTAGGAGGGTTTGGGATTCAAGGTTGTAGCATTCTAGCACTGTGTATATACATATGCATGCAATTCTCCATGACGCCCTCATGGCTTTCAACAATGACTTGAGGACCTTGAGGTCGTTGCGAAAGACAAGCCCTAAGGGTCCAACTGCCTAACAATCATATACGTTCCGGAACAGTTACCTGCATAACTACTATCCGAAGCCTATAGGTACCTAATTTTTGGATCCTTTGGACCCTCGGGGAAAAAAGGAGTGCCTTCGTCCTTGGTTGCTCCTTCAAGCGTCACCTCTTGTCGTGGCACTTATCCCATACTCGGGTAAAGTTCGCTATTGGTCCTTGTGGAAACCACCGACTGCTATGAAGGACTTCAAGTCGTCGTCTTTGAAGTGCTTCCGTTGATGGTATAAATCCTGCACTACCGTAATGTCCATATACTATGGGAAATCTGGTATATTCCTCATTATGAGTAATGCAGGATTTATATCATCAACGGTTCCGTTGAACCCAAGACGAAAGCAGGCATTGAAGGATGGCTGCCATCGCCTGCTCTGCTTCAGGTCTGTAAGCTTGACCTCTGCCTTTGGAGGTTTCAATGTATCTCTGTATACATCGATCTGCCTGTCAGTCTACCTCTCTATCTCCCTACAGGACCTGTCTATCTATCTTGCCATCTGTCTATCTATCTACCTGTCAGTCTGCCAGTCTATCAGTCTATCAACCTATCAGTCTACCAGTCTATCAATCCAGTCTAACAGTATATCAGTATATCAGTCATCTATCTACCAGTCTGAAGAACGCCAGCCTGTAGATTTCTGTGCGTGTATGTACAAACACACTCATACTTCTCGCCCCACACATGTCCAGAGTGCTTACTGGGGTCCCTTCATTTTCTGGAACTCCCCGCATTCTGCATCCTCCTTCCTGACACTAAGGTCTTTAAATCCAACACTCCAATATTTGGACCCTGGGCTCTTAGAGGCCTCAGCTCCAAACCCTAGGGGTCCTTATTAAGGGTCTATACCAAGGGGTCCTTATTAAGGGTCTATACCTAGGGGCCCTTATTAAGGGTATATACCTACCCCCAGACTCCCTCTACGTTGACTCCTCGAGGATGTTCTTAGGGCGATCCCATTGAAGTAAACCCTCAACCCTATACTCCCAGAACCTGCTTGCACAAACCTCTGCTCTTCGGGGTATGATATAGGGGCCTTAATAACTAGAATAGGGTGTTGGGGTCCATTATACTATAATTACCATAAGGAGCCCCCAAAATAGTATTGGTGTTTGTTTAGGCCCCTATATTCCTACATTAAACCCCAAAACCCTTATAGTAATTACCCTTATAGTACCCTTTAAAAGAACCCTTATAAAACCCTAATAAAGGACCCACCTGCCTTGGTGCCAGTAAGGGAAGTAGTCCCGAAGGCCCAACGCGCAGGGTTTGCTCGTCTTGGCCGTCAGGTCCTCCCAACAGGAAGTGGGTTTAGGGTTTAGGGTTTAGGGGCTTGTTGGAGATGTTGTGAATGTTTAGTGTAGGTACCTAGACAGCGTAGCACCTCGTAACTAACGAGTTTACATTACGCACATCGGGCCTCCTGTTATGATCCATAGTGGACTACGTAATTCAAGGGAATAGTCCCTACTTGATAATTAATGACAGGGCATTCTGGGTCAGAGCGAGAGCCGCCATGTATATAACGCAAACTCGCAATAGCACATGGGAATTTCCGAAAATTAGGGGCACCTTAATTTGGGGTCCTGATAATATGGATCCTACTATTTAGGGTACTATATTAGGGTCATATTAGGGTCCCATATTTTCGGAAACCGCCACATGATGCAGCCCTAGATACGATACTGATGCCTATAGAGTTTAGGGTTTAGGGTTTGGGATAGAGAGCTTGGAGTACAGAACTGCTGCTTTCGGAAACTCCCATTCTAGGTCTTGGTAATGTAGGAATGTGATAAGAGGCTCTGGTCCTATAACCCCAACACATTCGGATCCACAGACAGAACCCTAATAAAGACCCAAGCTTTCTTGACAAGGTTCCTGTACTACTGTAAGGACCCGCCGCCCCTCCACAATTTCGGAAGCCTGAAGCCCACATCCAGAAATCGCCAGCCCCAAACCGTCCTGCACCGCAAAACTCTAAGCTCTGAAATCTCATCGCGAAACTTCCAAAGCCTATCCGAAAGACCGAATAACACCGCCCACCCGTAGAGAAAAACATCTTCCCTGCTGTCCTACAAGGAACTCTCAGAGGAATCCGAAGACCAGCCCCAAGAGGGACCGGTTGGAGGAACTCCGCAAAGCCCACAAAGAAGGAACTCCACAAAGGAACAGTGTTCAAGGAACCCTGAAAGAAACCCTGAAAGGCACCCCAAGCCCAAAATCCCAAACCCCGAGACGCTCAACCGGTAAAGGAACACTTAGGGACCCCTTCGAAGAAACTCCCGGAGGAACTCTAAAAACAGTCCTGACAACTTCAAGCCTTAAGGCTTACCTTTGGATAGTAGGGAATGGAGGAATGGGGTACAATTATGGCTACTACTACTACCATTCTTCCATTCCCTACTAACCAAAGGTAAGTAAGGAGCCCTTCTAGATCCTCTTAAGGAACCCCCTATAGATCCCTTTAAGGGCCCTATGTTAGGATCTGTTTAGGGGGCTCCTTCATGACCGTCTCAAAACCCCTGCTCGACCGGAGCTGGGCATTCCTTCACAGGCAGGGCTCCTTTTTGAGGGTTCCTCTAAGGATTCTTCAAGGCATACCTTTGGTTAGGTGGGGCAGGGAAGAATGGTTGTAGTAGTAGTCAGAATTGTACTCCATTCCTGCATTTTTCTACTAGCCAAAAATAAGAAGGGTCTAGGGCTTAGGGCGGGCTTAGGGTTTAGCGAGTTAGGGTTTAGGGTTCTGGGGCGTAGGACTTAGGGGTTGATGGTTTAGGGTTTTGGGTTTACGGCTGAGGGCGTCAGGATTTGAAGGGATTGGGTAGGTTCCTAGAGACCCCAACTACCCTCCAACAATATACCCTAAATACCTGTAAAGGACCATAATCATGGCTCTATTAAACGGCAGTTGGGGGGTTCTGGTTTGGGTAGGGCGGTTATGGCTTTGGATTTGATGGGTTAGGGTGCAGGGCTTGAGACGACTCGAGAGGCTCACGGGGATAAAGGTGCAGGTATTCAAGCTTCAGGAATTCTTGGGGTTCAAAATTGAAGGCATTGCGGGATTGCTTTAGGGTTTTTCGGGGGTTCAAAATTGAAGGCATTGCGGGTTTGAGATTTTAGTGTTTGGGCCTTAGCGCTTCGAGGGTTTAAGGCCAAGGTGTAAGGTGCCGGGTTTCGGGCTTAGGTTTCGAGAGCTCGGCCCAGTGCTTCGCGGGAGAACCTAGCTAGCTGACCATCCCCTTGTCGGTTGGTCCCTCTGAGACTATCATGTAGGGAGCCTCTACCCTAAATCCGACGATTTTGGTGGGGGGAGCTCTTCCTAAACCCTAAACCCTGGCCGACCGACCTTGAAGAAGGCTATGGAGAGCTCTTACTCGGATGCCGACACAGTAGCGGCTTGACAGGGATTACGCAGGGTTTAGGGTTTAGGGCTTAGGGTTTAGAGTTTCCGTCCCAGCTTCTTTTCCAACTTGGCAGCTACTAGACCCCCAAACTCGGAAACCTGCGTAAAAACTCCGCAGCCCATTTTACATACGGTTCCTTTAAAGATTGGGCTTACCATAAGACCCCCAAGCCCTTAACGGAGCCATATTCGCAAGGCCGGATGCCCTTAAAGAAGGCCTAAACGCGAAACCCCACGCCGCTCCACAGCGTCTATGTCAACCTCTATACAACACCGCGGCCCAAGTATGGAGCATGCGCACCCCAGACTCCAAAACACCACGAGTAATGAATGTCCCTTAGATTGGACTAAGGACCCAAGTGTAATTCAATGTACATGCCAAACTAAGGGTTTTGGAGTCCCTGGCCTGCGTAACCTGCGCCGCCCTCAACCCTAAACCCTGTGCACACTGAATCAAAGATCGGCCCTAAACCCTCACCCCCTAAACCCTACCTTAACCCGGAAAAACCTACCTTTTTAAGGACTTATGTAAGGAAATCAGAATAAGGATCCCTAAAAAGGTAGGTTATTCAGGCTTAAGGTAGACCCTTAACATCGGCCAGGCGTCGCCGGATCGGCTAAGAACTGGTCGAGATCTCCTCAAGGCTGACACAGGTCCCGCCATCGCGCAATTTAGGGTTTAGGGTTATAAGTCCCCTAATATGGGTTATAAGGTATAGTTACCCTACTGATAACCCTACTTATATATACCCCTGCACTCTGAAGGCCATGTGGCTAAAGGCCACGTGGGTGGCACGAACCCCCCAAACCCCGTAGAGCACTCTTTCAAGCCCCGCAAAACCTGGAATAAACCAACAAATGCCTTGGCTGAACCAAAGATGAAATCATACCACATCCCGCAAAAAATTCGCTGGCCTTAATGATGAGAATAGGGTCTTGGGGTATGTTATAGTAGAATTGCAGGAAATATGTTGATGTATATACATATATATGTAGATATATGTATGTATTCAGGAACCCTCAATCAGAACATTGGTATTTACTCAGGCTTCTATATGAACTCCCAAACCTTGCTGCAAGCACGGTAGACCCTAAACCCAAGCCACAGACTCGGCGTATCCCTACATAATTACGTAGAAGGCTCCGAAATTCCCAGACCCTAGACCAAAAAGCCTCTAAACACCTAAAGCCAAACACAGAACCTCTAAACCCGTAAACCCGTAAGCGCCTACAGGGAACTCCAGAAAGTTGGAATATGGTTTCAGGGTAGGATACCTTATAACTTACCATAGAAGGGTTAGGATAATCATATTCCAACTTTCTGGCTTTTACTGTAAACCATGAACCCTAAACCGTCAACCCCCCCAAGAAGTGGCAAAGTCCTCCGGCGGCTTTGAGATCCTTTTGTGGCAGAGGCGGAGCATTGAACATTTGGGGCTTGCCTATTGGCGATTTTGTCCGACTTTTATAGCCAAGATCTTGTGTAGATGGTTTAATGGGCTTTCGCGTAAACCAAAGTTGATCCGGCGTTTACGGAACTCACTCCCGATGTCCTTTTATGAACGGGTATCTTAACTCACATAAGGGATTTTATGATTGCTTACCGTCTTTTCCGTACTTGGCAAAGCGCTTTCTCCACGGATACCTTGCTGGAGACTGGTGCTGAGGCTTACCGTTGGATAGTAGGGAATGGAAGAATGGTAGTAATAGTAGATATATATATATATATATATAATTGTACCCCATTCCTCCATTCCCTACTAACCAAAGGTAAAGATCCCTTTAAGGAACCCTAAACCCCTATAGATCCCTTTAAAGGAACCCTATAGATCCCTTTAAAGGAGCCCTATTCCCTACTAACCAACTCTAAGGAGGGCTTCCAGAGGTTTATGCAGGGTCCAGGCGGCGCGAGGTCTCAAGTTCAGGGTTTGCAGCCTCCGGCTTGGGCCTAGGGCGTTTAGGGCTCGAGGTTGAAAACAGCCTGTGAAATCACAAGTCACGCAGTTCCTTCCGGGACCTTAAACCGGGGAGTCGACGGATCCACAGTTCCTTCGGGCACTTGACGCGGATAAAAAGTTTGATAAAACAAAGTTATGAGCGGAGCTCCCTGCCCAAAAGAAGTTCACCTGTGAATTGCGGTCGAGTTAGAGATACGATGTATCCCCAAACACTCTGCAGGTTTCCCCATTCCCCTACTAAATCAGGAGTGTACGAAATAGACATGCGGCCCTTCGATATGGACAAACGCAAAGACTTACTCCCCCAATAAGCCACAGAAATACAAGGTTAAGGTTTCCGATTCCTACTAAACCACAAGAACCCAAGAAATTTAAAGGCTGGGTATTGGGGATCTGAGAGGGTGGTTGTCAAAATTATGGTCCCTTTTTTTGAGTACGGCACCTAATATTTAGGGTACCCGAAAAGGGACCCTAATTTTGACAACCACCCAAGAAGAGTCCTGCAAGCAAGGAGCATCCTCTGCTGGCCGCTCGGACCTAAACCCCAAACACGAAGCCTTAGATCACTAAGTGAACCCGTACAGTAGAAGCCAGAAAGTTGGAATATCATTATCGAACCCTTTTAAGGTAAATTATGGGGGATCCTACCATTAATCCATATTCCAACTTTCTGGAGTTCCCTGTAAGCCCACTGAATCCGAACCGCCTAGCCATAAATCCCTGAACCCCAAAGCCCCCAAAAAAACCTCAACGCCTAAATCCTTCAGAAAAAGTCCTCCTCCAGCGTGGTGCTTCCCCACACGAGGCTGGTCTGCTTGGCATCGCGATACCAGGAGCCTCAGGAAGCTTATATCGGATCGTACGGCTTCCTTTTGGTATTTAGGCCGTGCTATGAAGTTTTCAGGGTTTTAGGATTTTAAGCAATTTAAGCTTACGGCATTTGGGTGTTGGCGTTGGTTTGGCTTTGGTGCTTTGGGGGCTTTGGGGTTTTCGGGCTGCTGGGTTTGGGATTTTGGGTTTTGGGTGTGTTACAGTTTTGGCGCTTTTAGCGTGTTAGAGTTTTAGGGTATGTGCCCAAGCAGTTTGCGGATATACCAACTAGGGCTTGCACTAACATGGGCAAGGTAAAGACTCTGTAAAACTCCTCAGTTCCCTGCACCCTAACCCCCGAATGTAGGAACCTGATGAAGAAACCTTGGGCCTTTATCAGAAATCCCTACGGGGGGGGGCTATAGGCCCAGGGTTTCTTAATCTGGTTCCTACATTACTCCGTAAACCTCACGTCCTGCAACCTAAACCTGTAACGAAAATCAAAACTCCTCTTACAAAGACATAAGAATAATGACAGCAGGGTTTCTAGTTTCTACTTCTGCTGACTGAGTTGCTCAGTGAGAGCGTGCCCATTTTTCGAGTTTAAGAAGGAGCCGCCGAAAATAATATAGGGGCCATAATAAGCAGGGTCTTGGGGCATACTATACTATAATGATAATAAGGAGCCCCCACGACAGTATGGACAATTATTTCGGACCCTATAGGAACAGGGTTTGAATGTAGGACCGGGGGGCCTAGAGTGTAAATATAATTAGTACTTGGCGGCCCAGGGGACTTAGTAAGTAGGTTATACGTAAGGTTATAATTGGGATAACTCCGTTTAGGGTACTTATAACCCTACTTATAACCTACTTACTAAGTCCCCTGGGCCTCCAAGTAGGGAAGCCTGAGGACTGGTACGGTTGATGATATAAATCGTGCATTACCCAAAATAAGGAATGTACCATAGATCCCATAGTTTAGGGTCATTAAGGTCATGCAGGATTTATATCATCAACCGTATCAGTAAGAATTCAGACCCTTATATGGGAGATTCCCCCTTTCCGCCTTGATTGGGGTGCTTATAATAAGGATCCTACTATTCATGGAACTACGTTAGGGTCCCCCATTTTCGGAAAGCCCCAGAACGAACACTTTACTTGCACGTCCGAGCTGCCTGTGTTCTCCGGAACCATTCGCAGATCTGGAAAGCCTCAGACACCAGTATGCATGTCCAAAACCCTGCAACCTCTACCCCTAGCGATCAAAACAGCCCGAAAGCCTTTTATAGTATGGTCTTTGGGCCTAAAAGCCTTAACATATGAGTCCCTAGATCCCTCGGGTACGATCAGCATTGAAAGGGTTTGTGAATTTACAAACGGGGTTTCCTTCAGAAGGTTTAAGGTTTTATGGTTTAGGGTAGAGAGCTCGGGGCTTTGGGTTGAGCTGCAGGTGGCTGCGTGCGATGTTGCCGTGTTTGCGGGGCGATGATAATTACTGGTAACCGACACGGCATTATCCTATGTACCCATCCGTAAAGCTTAACTGTGAAATAGGAGAAGCCGAGCTGAATGCTACCGTGATGCCTAGTCCCGCGCCCTATACCAACCGAAAGGTGCATGCTCGCCACTTGGTCCTCGCTTACAGCATTGGCCCATCGGAACCTCACAAGATCGTAAGACGCGACTCAGGCAGGTTGCTCTCACTGCTGTCATGCCGAAGCTCACTGCCCAACAATTCGGCCGACGCTTCGCTCCAAGCTCCAGGCGGTGTCGAGGCACCACGGGGTCACAGCGGTCGGTTCGGCGGCCGGCTGTGTGCGCCGATGTCGTACTCGACGATGTCACGGAGAGGGCCTTGCCCGTAGGCTTTGTCGTTGAAGCCGGTGCCGTCCCGGTGGAAGTAGTTGGCGGGGGAGGCGGCGACGGTGTGGACGGTGCCGAAGTGGGCTTAACATAGAAACCTAAACAATTACCACTGTTAGAACACGTGCTCCTTCGGGATCCGTATTCTGCATATACTCTAACGTTCGCCGAAACCCTTTTGCAATTAGAAACGACAGTCTGAACCACTACTATACCCCCACTTAATCTCACATATATAATCCCCTAGGTAACCCCCTTAGTTTCAGGAGTTCAGACTACACCCTAAAGCCAAAACCCTGTATATGACGTATGCAACCCCCTTCACTGAAGGAGTTCAGACTATAGCTGTATAGCTCATACTATACCCCCTTTAGAATCAAACATACAAATGGAGGGATTGTCTTCACCCTGGGCCGGCCTGGCTTTGTGCCATCCAGGCGAACGTCAGGATACTTCGGGTGGAGACCGGCCTGGGTTGTGGCTTTGATGCTTCAATCAGTGCTCTTTTAAACGGGGTTCTCTGGAGGTTTTCTTCATACGGAATTTCGGGTGTAGGCGTTAGGGAGTTTAGAGGTTTGAGGCTTTAGAGTTTTGGGGTTCCAGTACGAGTGTTTGGGGTCAAAGGTTTTAAAACAAGGTTTCGGGATTGGGGGTCTAAAGGTGAGGGTCAAAAGTCACTACGACTCATCAATTAAGCGGTACCTCCTGGGGCACTTGAAGCATCAGGGGACTTAGTAAGTGGGTTCAGATTGGGCCGTCTGTACCCGAACCGGGGTTAATGCTGATTAAGAAACCTTCGGCCTTTGTTAGGGTTCCTGATATGAACCCTACTGTTTTGGGGTTGTAAGGCCAGGGTTTCTCTTAATCAGGTTCCTACATTTCCCTGTATACCACCTCAAACCTGCCTGAGACGACTCGCTCGTCCTAAGGGTCCACGGTGCCAATACTCACGGCAAAGCATAGTCAGAGGGCAATGCGGGTTGGTATTTGCGAAAGGATGCGATCACGAGATAATGTAGGGGCTTTAATAACTAGGATAGGCCCATTATACTATAGCTCAAACAAGGAACCCCCACAATAATATCGGTAATCATTCAGGCCTCTACAGTGCTTGACGCCTTAGGCTATATCCCGCGAGCTTGCAAGTATCCTCCTATCTGCAGCGGGTCGGTTCAATTTGCAGCTTACTTCGAGGTTCATGGGACTTAGCAAGCATAGTTATAAGTATCCTGATTGGGGTTATTAGTGATTGTAACTATAGTTACCCTGTTTATAACGCTAGTTACTAATTCCCACGATCCTCGAAGTAGGGTTTGGGGTTTGGTTTTGCGTTTAGGCATTAAAAGCTATGAGTTTGGGGGTGGCCGGGGTGAGGTAGAACGCTGGAACTCGTTTATATTTGCTTACCCCAGACTCAAGGAAACAACGGCTTGAACTTTGAGAATCCAATCAATCTGTAAATCCGAAATCCTAACCCCTAAACCTTGAACCCTAGTGAAGCCCCAGCACCACCCTAAACAACGAACCCATCCAAAAGTCGTTTACAACACTTGTGAACTCGTGTAGAATCCCCCTAGAGCCTCTTTACCATTGCAAAGCCTCCTTCAGTTCTTTAGGGTACCGTTCAAGGAATTCCCCAGAGAGCCCAATACCCCTTCATTAAGGAATAGAGCTTCAATCATAGTTTAAGCCATACTCCTTTTTAAGGGGTTTTGGGCTCTCTGGGTCTGAAACTAGGATGCCCAGTAACCTAGGAATAAAACGGGCTCCCTTTTTGGTATTGGGGAACTTTATATGGAACCTAGGAGTACAAAAAGGGAACAAGGGTACTACTGGGCATCCTAGGAAAGGAAGCCTGAAAGGAGAAGGAACTCTTGACTTGTAGGAGGCCTTGCCGGGATCCCAAAATATCCAAGGGCCATCCTTGAAGGAACACTACTTGGAGGCCCAGGACACTTAGTAAGTAGGTTATAAGAAGGGTTGTAATTGGGGTAACTCCATTTAGGGTACTTATAACCGTACTTATAGCCTACTTACTAAGTCTCCTGGGCCTCCAAGTAAGGAACACTGAAAATCGGCGGCCCTTCCGAAAGAACCGAGCGGCGCAGAAAGCATTGAACTCTTCCTCGCAGATGTGTTTTCTAAGCGTTGTATACGAGTTTAGGGCTTGGTAGGGTATGGCTTTCAGGTTTACAATGTCGCTCATAGAAGCTTGCATAAGGATTTTATGGATTCCTGGTAGTCTTCTACAAGTGGTAAAACCTTAACCTTAAACTCTTCCAAGTCTTTTTACTATTCGGGACCGGGTCCTCCATCTTTAGTCTTTCTTGCCTGACTCCTGAGCCTCTGCAAAAAGTTAAACTTTTCGCCTCCTTATTATAGCTCATATAGAAACCCAAAAAGTTAAAGTCGTACGTAAGAGTCAACCAGGAGAACGGCAAGCTTTACTCCAAGTAGAGCTGGTTTGCGCATGCATGCCCCAAGGATACGAGATATGAAGTTTTGGTTCACTGGGTTTCGCAAGGGCTGCGGTCTAATGCATACTAGCTGGCTGAATGGTACCAAGAGGAAATATAGTACAGTACTAGTAGTAACTGCAGCTAACTGCAGCTCAGTTTCTCGGGGAGCATATGATGGAAACTCGGCACGTCGGAGCAAGTTCAGAAAAAGGAAGGCTTAGGAACGAGGTTTACCCTTGGCCCCAGGCCCTGACCCCGCCCCTTTTTTTGCAGAAAAAAACAAAACCTCGCCCCTCAACCCTAAACCCCAAACCCCAAAATCCAAAGCGTAAAAGACCCATCTCGACTCCTTTGTTCAACCCTAAACCAGGGTCTATCGCTTGATTATATACATCCTGCACCATAATAAAAGAATATGCCATAATTCCCGTTCAACCTGTACCAAAAAGAAAGTATGGGATGGTCCCTTAAAGCTTAGAATTTTCGAGGCCTGGGTTCGGAGGGTTCGGAGGGTTTTGGGGTTTGGGGTATGTAGGGTTTAGGGTACAGGGTTTAGGGTTTAAGGTTTAGGGTTTAGGGTTTAGGGAAAAAGTTTAGGGTTTAGGGTACAGGGTTTAGGGTTTAGGGTTTAGGGTTTAGGGTTTAGGGTTTAGGGAAAAAGTTTAGGGTTTAGGGTACAGGGTTTAGGGTTTAAGGTTTAGGGTTTAGGGTTTAGGGAAAAAGTTTAGGGTTTAGGGTACAGGGTTTAGGGTTTAAGGTTTAGGGTTTCTTCTTCTTCCGGATTAGCTGGAGTCGACGTTCGACGCACGACGTATTCAGCATGCAAGGCCTTAGACATCAGGAAAGTCGCACTGGAGGGCCTTCATGGTCGCAGAAACTGCCACCATGGCTCGCCCCTCCCTCTGCATGTACGCTATTCCTTCTGCCTCAAAAAAGGACGGGCTCCGCCCGTCAATGCAAAAGTGGGACCAAGCAAGAGCAAAGCTTTGTGCTTGGTTGCTCACGCAGCCCTGCATGCGTTGCCAGGAGCTGCGGAGCTCCCCAATATCTACGCAGGAAACAGCCTCGAGCCACCGCTGACAAAACAGGGGAAGGCCAGCGAGCTCAGTGATGCAGAGGAAGGAGGAGAACCAAGCTGCATGCGTAGAGGATGGGGGAGGATTGACTGCAATGGCGTTGGCCGGTCGCAGTGTTGCCCAAAAAGGGCGTGGACCTGTGAAAGGGACGACTGGATGCTGAGTGGTCCCTATCTGTTCATCTGGAATGGTGTCCAGGTCCGCATGCTCGTATACAGTGCGGCAAGTGATAGCCGTTCTGAAATGCTCCCGCAGGCGACTAGTCGCCCAAAATTCCTTGCCGCAGCAAAGACAAGCCGTTCCCATGGCGACTCGTTGCGGGGCCGCAACACCGTGTACCTTGCGGACGTGCGCCGCTAGGGCGGCTTTGGACGCGCACCGTGCTCCACACCGATGGCACTGCTGGCTGTCCTGGTTGACGTGGCAGCGGAAATGCAGGAGGCCTGCCTGCTCGGCCTTATGGAAGGCCCGGGCCTTCTGCATGCTGCTCTGGATCAGTGGTTCGCGTTTTGCGATGCAAAGGCGGCGGGCCCGTCGCAGAAGCGCAGTGGTCTCCACACAACTCAACGGCCAGGTCTGCAGCAGTTCAGACTTGGTGTGAGTTTGCACCCATTCTTGGAGGGATGGGCTGAGATCGAGGCTTACAAGCCAGCAGACCGCTAGCCACGCTTGGTTCAGCCATAGTCCAGAGGCTTGCAAAAGGGCGCGCATGAAAGGTGTGCCCTTTGCAGTCACTTGAGCTATGATGCGCACCCTGTGGCTACGCAGGGCTTCATCGGGGGTCAATGCGTGTAGAACAGCGCAAGTTTGCTCGTGAGTAAGGCGCCAGCAGGGGAAGCCCAGCAAGGGTCGCACTGCAGGTCGCAGAAGCGACATATAGGCAGCCTGGTAAGCAGTTTGCTCCTTCTTCGTAGTCATCGCCCAGGTGGCCAAACCATGCATGAACTTCGAGAGGACTAAAGAGAAGAGGTAGGTCCTCTTTTCAGCGATCTCGAGGGCTGGGTTTCGCAGCAACCTTCGGCAGACTCTGTTGCAAACATCAGCTGCAAGCGTGCGTCTTCGACGAATGTCTGGCAACGCGCTGCAGTCGGGACCCCGAATGGAACCCAGGTGAGTGTAACGCGGTGTGCAAACGAGCTCGACCTGTTCGTCCGGCTGTAGCTGTACCGAAACTCGGCCGCGTTTATCCACAAACAGGTCCTGCTTCGCTTGTTGCGACCCCTGACCGCACATGCACACCACTGCCTCGGATTTTCCTTGCTCAAAATTCATGGCAACACCCGTGGTAGCCAGTGCCTGCGAGGTGAGTGCAGCAACCCTTGCCAGTCTGGCCGGAAGTGCTCGTGCCGTTGGCGAGAGCATAGGCACAGCAAAGTCATCTAGCCATGTGAAGGCGTGGGAGGAAATGCCATCAAGGGAAACAGCAAGCCCCTCTTGCTGTAGGCATTGCTGTAAGGTCTGGTAAGCCGGAGCTGCGGCGAACTGGAAGAGCAAGTCCGCCAAAGGCGCCCCAGGAACTGTTCCGGCTTGGGTCTGGAACACGAAACCGTCAGTTGGCTGCACTGTAAACCATGTCGGACAGAAGCCTGACCTCACGAGCCTTTGGATCATGTCGTCAACCTGAGCACGCTCAAGGCTGGATTGGCCACCGACTATGCTGAGGTAAGCCTCCTTGACAGCCGGGTCAATCGGAAGAGAAGTGATCCAGTCCCGGCGCTGCTGGTCAGAGCCCATGCCGAGGACCTGTCGATTTGTGGCATAAAATGCGCTGACGCCGTCGACGTAGAGAAGCGCGCCTGATTGCTGGCGTACATGGAGAAAGTCCAGGAAAGCCTGGCCGGCGAGCGCAGGTAACTCCAGCGGGAAACCGCGCCGCGCGCCAGCTGTCCCTGGCTGGACAATGGCTTCGAAACTGTCTAGCAGAGGTCGCCGAATGGCCTTGCCGAATGCTTTGGCAGACGATTCTAGCAGGGCTATGGCCCGGTATCCCTGCACTGTCAGGCTGTCTTTGAGCGGCTTTGGGATCGGCACATACTTTGAGCCCGTCCAGAGAAGCGGCGCGCGATTTCTCGAGGCCATCTTGAGGATCAATGGATAATGGGCCCGGGCTGCCAGGGCAGGCGCAGCACGGTAGAAATCGCCGCTGAGGCCACTGAGTCCCGGTGCCTTACGCGTGCGGAGGCAAGCGAAACCGTGCGCTAGGTCCGCAAGGGAGGGAAGCCCAGTGGCCTCGAGGGTCTGCGGAGCTGAAAGGGGCACGCCTGCCTTCCTGAGCGCCGAGAATTTGACTGTGGCAGCTTGTTCGGCCCGAGCAAAATGCTGGCCGAATGCCTGAGTAACCTCTTCCTGGTCAGTGGTGATCGTGTCACCTGATCGCAATGCGACACTGAGCCTAGAAGGGCGGTATCGTCTTCCATTTTTCAAGACTGCCCTGATAAGGTGTGCTTTACGAGATGGTCCCTCGGTGGCCGCATCCCGAAAGATGCGGCGTGTGAAGTCCGCCTCGTCTGCATTGGCCGACCTGCGGATCTGCTTGGTCAGACGACGCAGGCGCACATGGTGCACGCAGCCTTGAATGACGTCTTTAGCAATGTCCCGCAGCACACCAGAGGCATTAGGGACACATGCTACGGTGGAGCGACCTTCGGCCCAAGTCTGCAGGCAGAAATGCAGGAGTCGACGGAGGCGTTGTTGTCGGGAACCGTGCCGCTGGCGGCGGAGCTGGCGCTTTTGCAAGAGGAGCGCCCAGGTATCAGCCGAAACAACAGGACTGCGGGGCTGTGTCTTCGGGCGGGAGAAGGCCCGCTGTAGCTGCTGCTGGAAATGCGAATTGAGAGCGAAAAGATGCTCATCAACATCCACACCCCACGCAGGCTGCGGGGCACTGCGAAAAATACGCTCAATGATCCGCTTGCCCTCAGGCGAATGCATCTTCTCAATGTCAAGGCGGCGCGGCCCGGAAGTGGCAGAGGAAGGCAGTCGTCCTGCCACTTCAATCACCAGTGGGTCATGATCAATTCCGGAAAACTGGTCCAGAATGGGAACAACACCCAGGGTACTCGCTTGAGGCATCCACTCTTGCGGGAGCAAGACGAAGTCCAAGCAGAGCTCATGGCCTTGCGGGGAGCGCCAGGTGACAATAGGCCGTCCGCGCACATCTGTGGTGCCCGATGTCGCGAGGCCACGACGCTGCAAGAGGGCGTCCATATGGCAGGCATTGGCATTGGCTGGGGTGGAGCCGTGCCAGTGCGCGTTGGCATCGAGGCCGATCAAGGGTATGTGGCCTCGTGGAGCCGTCGCCAATGCTCGTTCAAGCAGAGCCCACCATTCGCTGATCTCAGAGTCCGAAGCAGTGGAGGTTCTGGCGTGACCCGAGATGAGGATCACGGGCTGGCCTAAGAGTTTGGCCTTGACAAGCAGTAGTCGCGGATGGCTAAAGACTACTGCAAAAGACGTCGTATCCCATGCTGCAGGCTGAGCTTTAGTGTCCACCCAGATCTGGCAGCCCAATTGACCTTTGTCTGCAGAGCTGGAAAAACGCCAGACATGGTCGACGGTTCTGCAGGGCTCGGCACTTTCGCGGGTTTCCTGCCAGAAAATCACTTCCAGGTGGTGTGCTCGCAGGTAGGCTTGCAAGCTATGCCTCTGTAAGCTGGTGCGTGCCGACAAGGTGTTGTAAGTGCAGAGCTTGATCCTGAGATCACGGGCCGGGCTTTGATGGGTAGCCGCGGGCGGAGTCCAGTCGCTCGGAGTCTCAAAACTCTCCCTTGTAGGCGGGAGGTCAACGGGGCATGTAGTCCCCTGCTCATCAAGGGTTGGCCAGCCGCCGCCCTCTGGTGCCTGAACAAGCCACAGCCATTGGAGAGCCGGATCCGCAATAATGTTGTGGAGATGCATGGCAAGCTCTGCCGAGCTGAAGTCTAATCGAGCCGCTTCTGTTGCAAGTGAATCAGCCAATTCATTGCCCGGATGGCCTGTGTGGCTGTGCACATGCTGCAGCACAGGCTCTCTGCCCTGTACTACAGTACATAGTCTGGCCGCCAGCGCTGCGCGGGGCAGAGCTCCGAAGCTGGCGCTGGCTGCGCTTCCTTGAGTGACCTCTGCGGCGGCCTGTGCGTCGAAGACAACAACCGTTTCGGGCCACGGGTTGGCCAGACAAATGAGGTGAGCAACGAGCTGGGCGAAGAGTTCAGCGTCGTAAGCGCTCTGCACGAGCTGTTGAAGATCGGCGCTTAAAACTCCAGCTAGAAATCCTCCCCAACACCATTCTTTCTGGCACCGAACTAGAACAGCAACAGCCCATGCTCCAGTTCCGGTGTTTGGGTCAAAGGAACCGTCTGTAAAAAGCATCGCGGCGTCCCCGATGAAAGGACCTTGCCAGGGGCGCAGGCTAGAAAGCAGTTGATGGGCAGCTGGATGCATGCCGGGCACATCAACAACCTTGTGAAGGTTGGCAAGCGAAAAAGGCTGGCAAGTGAAATCCTTAACCTCCGTGGTGACTGCAAAACTAAGACGGTGTTCTTGTGACAGGTCCGGCTCGGGTAGCGCTTCGACTAGTTGAACAATCTGCCTCTTAAGCGCGCCTGCAGGCCTTGGCTCATGGGGGCAGGATGGCAGATGTCGGCGACCAAACGGGGTGGGGATACCCGTGATCGCGGGTCGTGCACTTGCTGAGGGTGTCTGTGTCCGGCTGGTAGCGGAGCACAAAACGGAGGCCTCTTGCTTGACGGGTGGTGGCCGTGCCTGGCTCTGCATCAGGGAGGTAGAGATCTGGAGCATGGCCGTGGCATCATGATCATCGTCATCAGCAAAGGGCTCTGGAGGCGCTGGCCGTCTTTCAGCTTGACTAGGCGCAGAAGACTCATCTGGCCAGGTTTGCGTGGGGTCATCTTCGCCCTCAAGCTCTGCGCTGGAGTCTGGTGGAGGATGTAGTAATCTGCGGCCTTCATCAAGAATGTCCCCATGCCGCAGATTATTCTGTGGGATCAGGACATTGTCTTCCGAAGAGGGCACACCGCGAAGAACTCGTGCCCTTGCTGAGACTAGCAAGTGGAAGAAGTGGCCGGCGAAACCCGGCGCTGGGGAGAGCACGCATCGCATGTGAGAGTTTCGCACAGCACTGGCGAAGACAGCAGCAAAGGGCAGGTCACTCGTGACATGGACAAGATTAGCCCAAAAGGGCGGGTGATCCAGACGCTGCATGTAAGATGTCAGCTCCAAAGAGCTGCACCTGTGAGCACTGGGCACATGGATGCGGATCTCACCATGCTCCGGGCCATATACAACGTGCGCTGCTGCGGTCACATAGTTGAGACCTAGACGCCAGCGTCTGTCTCTCAGGCGCGCCAAGTACATTTGGCTGAAGTGCGAAAGTGGCAAGGGCCACGTGAACGCGCCTAAGCCGGGCGCCATCTGGATCCCCTAAGACTATCCTAGACTGTTTTTTGCCGCGAGCCGAAAAACTAACTATATAGTTAAATTTTTTTGTCTACACTATATCTTATTTTTTTGTCTATAGTTAGTTTTCGTAGGTTGTGAACGAGAGACATAAACTAACTATTATAGACAAAAATCTGTCTATAGTTAGTTTTTGTCGGCGCCACCATAAACTAACTATTATAGTTAGTTTTTTCCCCCCGGAAACTAACTATAGTTAGTTTCTGGCCGGCGGAAAGTTCGACCAAACTTCGGGTTCCCGGCACAAACACCCCACAGCAAACTTCGACCAAACTTCGGGTTGCCCAAGAGCAAACTTCGACCAAACTTCGGGCAAACTTCGGGTTGCATTTTCCAGGATTTGTTTGATCTTATTATTAACTTGACAGGCAATTCTTCAGATGTTTCTGGCGAGCTGCGATCATTCTCAAGGTTTTCTTTTTGTCTGATCTTAGACCCTAAACCCCTCAGCCCTAAACCCTAAACGAAAGGTAATTCTTCAGATGTTTCTGGTGTGCTGCGATCATTCGGTTTCTTTTTGTCTGATCTTAGCAGGAAAGGTAATTCTTCAGATCTTTCTGGTGTGCTGCGATCATTCTCAAGGTTTTTTTGTCTCATCTTAGCAGGAAAGGTAATTCTTCAGATCTTTCTGGTGTTGTGCTGCGATCATTCTCAAGGTTTTTTGTCTGATCTTAGCAGGAAAAGTAATTCTTCAAATCTTTCTGGTGTGCTGCGATCCTTCTCAAGGTCTCTTTTTGTCTGATCTTAGCAGCTGGAAGAAAGGTAATTCTTCAGATTTTTCTGGTGTGCTGCAATCCTTCTCAAAGTTTCTTTTTTTGTCTGATCTTACCGGGACAAGTAATTCTTCAGATCGTTCTGGTGTGCTGCGATCCTTCCCTAGGTTTCTTTTTGTCTGGTCTTAGCAGGAAGAAAGGTAATTCTTCAGATCTTTCTGGTGTGCTGCGATCATTCTCAAGGTTTCTTTTTTTGTCTGCTGATTTTAGCAGGGAAGATAACTCTTCAGATCTTTCTGGTGTGCTGCGATCCTTCTCAAGGTTTCTTTTTGTCTGATCTTACTACCAGGAAGAAAGGGAATTCTTCAGATTTTTCTGGGGTGTGTTGCGATCACTTTTGTTACCATTTTTTCAACAGGAAATCCAGTCCACAGCAACACAACGATTCTTCCTCAAGAAACGAGAGTCCGAGTAGCTGTGCTTCGGTCGGCCATGCAAAGTTTTCACTCCAAGTATCCCTCAGCGAAGTAGTAGTACCGTCATATTACAGCTTCTTCTTCACGAAGGGCTAGAAGAGGGCTGCTTCGAGTGAGGAGGGCTACAAGAGGGCTACTTCGAGTGAGGAGGGTTGCAAGAGGGTTGCTGAGAGGGCTGCTTCGAGTGAGGAGGGCTACAAGAGGGCTACTTCGAGTGAGGAGGGTTGCAAGAGGGTTGCTGAGAGGGCAGCAAAAAAAAGTACTGTTGAAGAAAGCAACCAGGAGAGGATGTGCTGGTGTTGTTGTCGTTGGAGTTGTTGTTGGCTGTTCCAACCCCAACAATCGCTAGCACTCGACTTCACAAACCCTGGCGAAAGCCACAACCTTAGGATAAATCCCAAAGCCCCAACCCTACAATGCTTTCTACAGATCCTTCCAGTGTTCTTCTTTTTGCTCCGATCAAGCCTCGTGCTCACGAAAATGCCTTAGGCATTCGTCCTCTGATCTCGCCAGAAGAATGCCTTAGGCATTCGTCCTTTGATCTCGCCAGATCATGCTCAGGGCCAACCGGTAACGTCTGAGCATCTTGTTGACAGCATAAGGCCCAACATTCCCCTTCAGGGACATGGAAGCGAGTCGCTGCACCTTCTGTTGGAGGTCCTCGCCGACAAATGCCCATACCTCAAGGTTTCACTTCCACGTGTTTTAGCACACGTTCTTATTGTAATTATGCTTGAAAAAGGTGACAATGCTTGTTATTATGATGCTCGTCTGCCGACAAGGGACGGTTCTGGGATTTAAGACAGATGCGAGCAGACAGGCATGCTGTAGCTGGTGTGCTTTCGAAGTTAGAGTGAAGTACAGTTTGCCGTGCTCTGCAAAGTGCCTCGCAAGATCACTCTGAAGTACCAGCATATCGGAGCATGCTTGATTAAGCTCATCAGCATCCTCGTCCTCCATCGAAGTCTGGCCCTTCGTCTCCGTCAGCTTCCTTTCCATGAAAACGTTACTTTTCAAGAGAAGTGTGATCTTCTTGTGAAGCTCAAGCTCATTACTGCAATATGTTGTCCATAGTGCCAACAGCACCTCCCCAAAATATCGCAGTTCGCCTGCTTTTCCTCGGAGCTTTGGCCCACCGGTTTTTCGTACGAACATGGTTAAACGGCTCATCGATCTGAACCTCACAGCTGTTTGATGCATCCGATAATACTCGCGAATGAATCGCCAACAGGCTGCTAAGTTGTCTTCTGGACTTCCTTCATTCATGACCTCGAAGACAAGGAAAGACATCACAGATCCGAATTGGACGGCATCCGTCCCCAAGAACTTACAGTGCATGTAGTCTGCACAAATGTTGCATGCAGACACACCAGGAATCGAAAATATAGGGTTGCGGCTTCGTCCAGCCCAAGCATGCCAGGCATCTGGTCGCCACATCGTTCCTCGCCATGCAGCCCCAACCTGAAAGTTGCTCCAAGTCGTAAGTCCACTCAATGTCGTCCGGCACATGCTGCACGGCATGCTCTTGTTGTTGTAGTTTGGTAGCTGCAGAAACTGTGTAAAATAATCTAAATCGCCAATCAGCGACCAAACCACTCCAAAAAACCCACCAGCTAGTGGTGTTCCAGCTCGCTCGAGTTGGATCGAGCCTTCGGGAAACCTCATGTCGCGACTGCTTTGAACTTCAAAATGAAGGCAGAGCGAGAGAGCGAGAGAGAGAGAGAGAGAGAGTGGTTGAGAATACTATAAATATTCACATGACGAAAACCTCTAGTTGGGATCAGGCAAGGTGGCAGGGCGATTATCAATAAGACTGAAGGAACAAATCAAACATACGAATTTTGTCTTCTGTGCCTGTTGCCCTTGTGGTCGGTCAACGGCCATAGCCCAGACCAGAGAGCAGTAAATGACCATGCCAAAATCTTCCAGAGGTTTCGCATAGTGGCATACGGGCCATTCTTAACATCGGTTTTCTCTACCAGTCCCATCGACCAGAACTGTGTCGACTTCGTTTCAGTCTTGCCCAGCAAGCTTGCCCATGACACGTTGACGAGCTTCTTGGACCACTGCTTTCCAATCCCAGCGATGGGAACCTCGTCGCCGTGAACCGAAATAGGAATCGCCTTTTTGATGTTGCGATGCAGCAGCGGGTGATTTTCCCAAGCCGGGTGGGAGTGAGATCGCATGCGATCCCAGAACTTTGTACGTGTACCCTCGTCGCTGGCTACATTGCGAAAGAAAGCCTCATTCTCATGCTCGAACATTGAAGCGAACAGCTCATGAGGTAACAATACCTCTTGTGTATGTTCACCTGCGGGGTTTGCAAAGTGGAGCTTGGTTTTGTATGTTTCGGCGACGGCAATATTCGGCTCCACCCGCCTCATAAGGTCGCTGTAGCACTTGTTGCTGAACTTCCCATAGGAGCCTATGCTAGCCAGTTGTGTAATATCTCGAAGGCACTGGGAAGTGGATGAGGTCGGCTCCTCACCGTGCTCCTGCAAAGTTGAGTGGATATCTTGCCTTGCGGCTTCAGCAAGGCTCTGTAAAAGCTGTGGGCTCATATCGCCCCAGCAGAACAACTCCAAAAGCTTCCGGCCCAAACGAGAGTTGGGGCTCACAGCTTTGGTCCTCGTATCTGCATCCGAGGGCGGCAGCTCCCCACCGCGAGGAACAAAATCATCATCATCATCATCGGTGGTTGCGATGCCCTCCTCATATGAAGCAGGCACATAAGCTCCAGCTGCTCGTAGTCTTTGCCGAATACCACCTCGGAGTCTTTTCGCTCCTCCTGACGATGCTGCTGCCGGGGATGAATGCCTCTTCTTCTGGTGACCAGAAAAACCCCTGCCAGCCATCACTCCTACACACCACCTGCCGGTCCTAGGACATTTTCGTGGCACGTAGTAATCTCATTTGTGCTGTATATAGTCGTAGCAGATAGTAGTCGCATGTTTTATCGAATAATAGGACCAATAACTGCTGCAATAAATAACAGTATCACTCGACATCAAGGTCGCTGGGGATGGGGTCTCGTCGGGGATCTTTGTTGATGCCTGTTCATTTCGGGATAGGGTTTTGTCGGTGAACTTTTTTTTATGGCTACTTTATTAGTGTCGTCAACAAAGCCTGAGCATCGGCAAAGGGCATCTTCGGAATTGCACTGAGAAGGATCATCCTCGCATATTTATGATACTACCTCTGATTCTCGTTCTGATTATTATGTTTATACACTCCAGGAATCCCTCTTTGTTTGCATTCTTCTTCTGGATAGTGTAATTTTATGCCTGACACGATTATTATGATAGCTATTCCAATCATAATACTAATCCTGCACTCAAGAACCCCTCTCTGAATATGAATATATAGAAAGCTTCTTATATAGTAGTTGTTGGTGAAGTTTTCGCCATAATAAGCTTCGGCACTGTCTCTGTTCGCGCTTTTTTTGTCCAACTCACGAAAGCACGAGTGCGAGATCAGAGAAAGCCCAAAATCGTCATGGACGACCCCCCCCCTTGTGCAGCTAGCTGTCAAATAATAATTGGTTGCCCCAGGAGCCCCGACCCAATAAATCTAAACCCATTATAAGTCCTGTGTAAGGCTTTGAAAACAAGCCGGAAGTAGCCAGCACTCCAGAGAATCATCCACGACACGGCTCGACATACGAAGATCGCGATCTCACTTTGTGGCCTTGACAACGGCTTTGCCGTTTGCGAGCAACTCGTGGTGGGCCAACGTCTGCTTGGCGACAAATGTCATGAACTTGTCGAAATTGTCTTTTGAAACAGGTTGCGAATCAGGCATCTCCTTCCAGGCCAGGATATGGCGGCATTCGCCGAGCATCTTCTGGCTCTCAACGTAGGCCTTCTTGAGCTTGTCATACACGTCCGACGACTCCTGAGGAAGCCTCAGTCAAGCATAATTTGGAAGATTGTCGCGAGCTTTATTAGTAATAGGGCTAAACCCACAAACCTCAAAACACCGAAACCTAAAACCTCCAATACACCCCAAACAAAACCCTAAAACCCTTTTCTTGGAGGGATGCCTGGAGGGATACTTGGAGTGATGATGGATGATGGGTTGTGACGGCAGCGAAACGGCGGGATGATATGTGGAGTAGTTTCCTGGAGGGCTACTTTGAACGAGACCTGGGTAACTTCGATGAAGTGTTTCGAGAACTCAGCGACACTTGGAGGGCTACTTTGAGAGATACTTTTGAGTGAGGGGTTGTGATGTAGTTCTGACCAAGAAGATAATAACATGCCTGGATTGTGCATGGCAATCAGCAAACAAGACCCCCTTTTGTCTATCCTACGACACGGGACAGTTCAGGATTCTTCCCTGCGGTGTTGTAAACATCAAACATCATGTTATACAAAAGATGTCGGGTAGCTTCTTCAAGAGCCTCATGGTCTCGCCACCCAAGCGGATCTGTGTGGCCACCGCCTTCTCCAAGAAGGCCGCCATGGGCTTCGGCAGCTTCTTGCCAGGCTCAACCACCAGGCCATCGGTACCCTTGTAGGGCATGCTCCAATCGAGCTTGTCGAACATTGCCTCCAGCATGTCCGCTTGCTGCTGGGTGCCCTTGGCCTGCTTCGTGTAGCCCAGGCTGCTCTCTTGTCCGGTTTCAACACCAGCTGTCATTTTGCGGAATGAGTAGAAACACGTTCCGTCCTTGGACTTGAACTCGGTGACCTCTCCAGCCTCAATTGCTGCATTCATAGCCTCAGCTGCAGCAACAAACAACAGCAGCAACAGCGATCACAACAACAACCACAGTAGCAACGACCAGCACCAGCAGCACAGGGATAGTTTTTTTTTCAGGTGTTGCAGTTTTCAGGGCTGTTGTTGGTTCGGGGATAAAGAAAGAGTGGAATAACAAGGTTTAAGGGTTGTTTTCGTTTATTAAGGCTAGCATCATCGTTGCGGTGTTGTTATTATTGTTATGACGACAAATGGAGCAGAAGCAGAATGCTTTCGGCTCGAGGTTGTTAAAGGATGTAAGGTTTAGGGCTCAGGTTTCTTTTGGGGAATAATACAGCTTTAGTACCTTTGTGGGTGTATTAGTAATGTAGCAGAAGCAGAATGCTTTCGGCTCGAGGTTGTTTAAGGATGTAAGGTTTAGGGCTCAGGTTTCTTTTCGCGAATAATACAGTTCTAAAAACTTAGTGGGTGTATTAGGAATGTAGCAGAAGCAGAGCGGTTTCGGCTCGAGGTTGTTAAAGGATGTAAGGTTTAGGGCTTAGGTTTCTTTTCGCGAATAATACAGCTTTAGTACCTTTGTGGGTGTATTAGTAATGTAGCAGAAGCAGAATGCTTTCGGCTCGAGGTTGTTTAAGGATGTAAGGTTTAGGGCTCAGGTTTCTTTTCGCGAATAATACAGTTCTAAAACTTAGTGGGTGTATTAGGAATGTAGCAGAAGCAGAGCGGTTTCGGCTCGAGGTTGTTAAAGGATGTAAGGTTTAGGGCTTAGGTTTCTTTTCGCGAATAATACAGCTTTAGTACCTTTGTGGGTGTATTAGTAATGTAGCAGAAGCAGAGTGCTTTCGGCTCGAGGTTGTTTAAGGATATAAGGTTTAGGGCTCAGGTTTCTTTTCGCGAATAATACAGTTCTGAAACCTTAGTGGGTGTAATAGGAATGTAGCAGAAGCAGAGCGGTTTCGGCTCGAGGTTGTTTAAGGATGTAAGGTTTAGGGCTCAGGTTTCTTTTCGCGAATAATACAGTTCTAAAACCTTAGTGGGTGTAGTCCCCGAGTGTATTTTAACAAAAGAAAAAACATTGCTTTGTTGAGACATGGCACTGACTCCGAGTTTCCGAAGAAAAGTCCTCGCATGACGAGCTTGGTGTAGCTCTCCTTGCCATCGGTGCCGAACTTTTTCTCCCAAACTCGTTTCGCCTCGGTGAATAACGGCTGGTCGTCAATCAAGCTGTACCGCCCGGTCTTGGGGTTCCTCTTGAACAAGGTGTTGATAATCTCCGTGCGGAATTGGCGAGGGGATTCTTTCTGGTTGGCAGCATTATCATACAAGTCAACCACATATGGTGGTAAACTCCCTGCCAACCTCATCTTCGTGAATTTTTCCGCTTTCCCTTTGTCTCTCTTCGAGTCCGTGGATGAGCCCGCACCGTTGTCCTCTTCGGCCGACTGGTCGTCCCACATGTTGTCCTTGTCCATGGACGACTTCTTGATGCCCTCGACGGCATCCTTCAATGTCGTGGGCCCGGCACCGGGCTTCTTCTTGATGACTGGGCCACCACTCTTGCCGGGCTTGCTGTTCTTCTTGATGAAAATCTTCTTGCTCTTCTTCTTCATAACAACAGCAGCCGAGGGTCGCTTCATCATTGTTGTTGTGCAGCAGGAGAGGAGGAGCCGAACAAGGATGGGAGTCAATAAGAAGCCTGTCGCAACTCTCAAAAAGCTTCGATGGCAGGAGAAGGCGGCAAGTCATCCATTATTGTCATCCATATACAATCATCACTGCACAAACTTCGCTGAAACTCCGATTTGGCACACCGAACTTTACTCGAAACTTCTTCGAAACTTCGACCCCGTACGACCACCGTATATCGAAGTTTGGTCGAAGTTTCGTCGAAACTTCGACTTACTAAGTCGAAGTTTAAGTCGAAGTTTTAGATAGGCTAAGTCGAAGTTTTGATATATCAATAGTGTTACCTCTCGAGTAAGTGTGCAAAGATAAGTCGAAACTTCGACTTACACAACTTAAACTGCGACCAAACAGCGGCCAAACTTCGACCAAACTGCGGCTTGTGCTAAGTCGAAGTTTCGACGAAACTTCGACCAAACTTCGATGTTTGGCTGGCTGATCATGATCGAAAACCAAAGCTCTCGAGCTGCGACATGTATGTTTCCGACCTCCTAAATGTCTGATCACTCAAGCAGACCCTCAATCGCACATAGCTATTTTGGGCTTCTGGTGGTTGTCGTCAGCCATCAAAACTCGGATGTGGTGCGACGACCGGTCACTGTTGAATCGTGATAAGCCGCCACCAAAATCATCCGATATCGTCCACAGCAGGAGGTTGCTGCCACCAGGGTTCATCCCCAGGTGCTCGTCTCACTTCCTCGGGTACTTTGCATCGAAGCATTTCCCTGCCTCGTGATGGGCTTCTTTGGCTTTCCCACGAGCTGCCGCCAGCAATGTGGGATCATTCTTTTGGTCGCCTTTCGGCTTGTGCACATCGAAGGCCTTTCTGTATGCACTTGTCACGGCCCGGTGTCGCAGCACAGATCGTGATGGCTGCTCCACCCCATCATTCCTCTCGCCCTTGCCGTCCTTCTTCTCCTCGTCCTCGTATTCATCGTTGGCACGACCATCCTCCTCCAGGATGGGGTCATCCTCGAAGCCATCGGCCTCCTCCTCGGGAGACTCCTCGCACCAGGACTCGTCCCACCACCACCACTCGTGGCTGCCATGGGAAGCCTGCTCATCGTTTGCCTGCTGATCATCCACAGCCTTGCACGAATTTTCTATGTTAAACAAGAATGGGGCTTCAGTCTATAATAATGTGGATGATGATGTAGGAAAAGACTAAGGGTTTAGGGGTTTAGGGGGTTATCTTTTTGGAGGTATGTCGTTGTTGTTGTTGTTGCCGAACATGCAAGAAAGTGCAAAACCCAATCAGGAATGCTGTTGCGGGTCCTAGAAATACAGATACAAGCTTCTGGGTTTTAGATATGAAGATAGTCGAGGTTGTGGCTTTTCATATTGTTTCTCAAATACTCAACTTGAGTAGTGGATTCCGCAGCAAAACAAACATGACTCTGAAACTCAGCTCAAAGAACCCCGCTGCTGTCCTCCGCGATCTGTCGCTGCTTCTTCATCGGCTGTTTTGGCTTGTTGCCCGCCAATGTCCCATCATCGAAAATAGTGCTCTTGCCCCTCTTCAGGATGCCAGCCGGCCTTTTTTTCGGTGCCTCCTTCGGCTCGTCGGGATGCTTGCCTTTCTTGGCCTTCGTCGGCTTCTCGCTTGAACCCTTGGTTTCTTTTGCACTCGGCTTCTTCTTCACGGCTTGGTTGTAGGTCTTCCTCAAAGTAGCCTTCTCATCCTCATTGGCGGGCCTCGTCTTGCTTCGAATCCGTCGAAGCAAATCCTCCTCAGAGGCATCCATGAGCACAGGCTTCTTGTTCTTGGCCGCCGAAGCCGACGATGGAGTCGACTTCTTGGTCCCTGTTCGCTCGTTGGCCCCAGCCTTCTCCAAATAATATTTGCAAAAGAAGTAAGGCTTGTTGTATTTGGCTCCGATGGACCATCGGTTTCTATTCTTATACACTCGAGGCACGAAAGCAAGAAAGGATACACCATCGTAGCATCCCTCGTGGTACTACCATGCAACAACTCGCGACTTTGTATTCGCTCTTGGCATCTGTGCACTCTAGGAATTGTTTTTTTGCAGGGATGACTCGAAGCTTTACCACGACGAAAAGGAGCACGAACAACCACAATAAAAAATCATCGTCATCATCATCGTCATCATCCTCTAGGGTCTTGTTCGGGTATTATTGTTATTTCCAGCCCGAAACCCACACCTGCTTGTCCACGGTGTTCTTCTTCATCTTCGCCTTCTTCTTCTCGGTCTTCTCGGCTGCCGGCTCCTCCTCAAAAATCTCCTGGATAGTTGGGCCTGCAGCAGTTGATGAGGCAGCTTCCGCCGAAGACGCCTCTCTCAGCACCCTGTGCTCGCTACCCCGCCCCTTAGTAGCACCACCAAAAATCCTGAGCCCTGGCACCACGAAGCCATCGGAGCTCGCATCATCGTCTGCATTCTTCTCGTCCTCGTCGTGCTCCTCAGAAGACGACCGAATCGGATGGGCACCCAAAATCTGGTCCAGCATCTGCATCGGATTATCCGTCTCTGGCTCCTCGGTGGGGGGCGACTCGTCGGCCTGAGCAGCAACAGTAGTAGTAGTAGTACCACCAGCAGCCGCACTCGTTGTTTCGCCGCCGCTGCTGCCAAACGAATTCTGGGTGCTCATAGCCGGCACCACATCTTTCATCATAGCCAAGAGCTTGCCTCGTTTTTCGGGGATGGCTTATTCTTCAGTATACCAAACAAAAGTAAACGGTTGCAATAGGAATCCCGAAACGGAAAAGCGCCGATTAAAAGCCAAATCGCTGATGACTCTCATCTCGCTGTCGCTGAACCTGCGGTGGGCACGATCAAGAAGTCCACGGTCACATTTCAATGACCTCAAATGGGATAGGCCCATACGGATGTTCTCGGACACGGAATCGATGAGGGCGGAGTCCTCCAGCTTCGTACCATTAATCGAACTTTTCGCATGGCAGGCCTCCAAAGCAAGCTTGACTTTCGATTTGTGCAAAATACCGTTGGTTGCTTTGGCAAGAATCCCACTGTACAATCGGTCCAATCGTACAATCCATGAAACTGGTACTGCCGACTTCCAGCTCACATTCACTGGTGGTGCCACCAACTTGTGTAGGTGACGGGACTGCATCGAATCCATGTAGTCCTCGATCGGCTTCTGTATATCCTGAACTGTCAAGTCCGGGTTCGCACGAGCCCGCTTCGCAGCACTGCCACTCGCCATAACGATGCTATTATTATGTATTCAAAACCCTTGTTTGATTGCAAAACCCCCCGTACTAATGATAGGCACTGAAAGAATAAGCTCTGGATGTAGTGAGTTCATGCACTACTCGAATAATAAACCATAGAGGTTGCTCTATCACGGTTCCACATACATGCTCGCATCCTTCGCTGCGAAGAAAACCTGGGCCCAATGAACATCACGAAGTGGCTTCTGTCTGTCTGTCGAAGCTCCCCAGGAATCTCTCAAAGTAGCAGCCACAATACGATTATCTTTTGAGGTAGCACTAGCCTTTCAAATATTTCTTTTTACTATCTCTGGAAGTACCACTCTCGATCTTTCTGAATGAACAGTGCTATTTCCATATGTTTTGTCTTTGTGTCTATGACATTTGGCTTTATCCTGATATCTCCAAAGGTAACACTTCTAACTCTCTTCTTTCTTCGTCACAACTCACGGTAACAATGCTTTGCAGCTCTGATCATGCACGACACTCACTCCGGACGGGACCTTGTTTTCCTGGCTTCTCGCGAGGCTGCTAGAATCATCGTGTCGAGCTCGGACATGTCCAGCTCATCAATAATAGGGCCCCCCTCGGGCAATATCGTCTTGTTGTCGTCGTCCTCAGCAGCAGCAAAGGCGGTGTCCTCGTCCTGGCCAAAGCGAGTCCTGTTGTCGTCGTCGGATGATTCCTCCGTGTCGTCGGCCTCCTTCTCCTCGGCCCGCTTTTGTTTTTTAATAGGAGGTCCTCCATAGTCACGACCACCATCCAGAAAAACATATTCACCTCCATGGCCACCAGCATGGGCAGCTCCTCCAAGCCTTGGTCGAGAAAGGACGGCACCCCGCACAAAAGCATGATGCATTTCTCAAAAGCTCACTGAAAAACTCCCTCAGGGTTTTATCCCTCCGATATCTTCCAGTTTATCTCTCCAAGAAGCATCCCTCCAAGTATCCCTCAGAAGCTGATTGTCTCCGATACCTTCTTATCTCTCCGAGCATCCCACACAGTATTGATACGAGTGTGTTTTATTGTTATCTCTCAAAGTATCCGTCGAAGTCCCAGGCAAGTACTTCCCGTCAGATTAGCTCTAGTACTACTAGTCTTGGGGATAATAGTAATGAGGAAATCATATTGTCGTCCCTCCAAGTAGTATCCCTCCGAGCAGCTCTGATCTCTCAAAGTATCTCTCCAAGCACCCCTCGGAGTAGCTTTGAATATAAACACGATCTCTCAAATCTCTCAAAGTAGCCCTCATGTCTTCTTAATAAAGAATCTCTAAAGGCACCCTCATCAATGTATATATGCACATGAATACATGTTTCCGTAACATATATATATATATGTTACACATTATTGTAATACTACTAGGAGGCCCAGGGTCTCCTCGCAGACTGGGTTACTCTGAGGGGTGCTTGGAGAGATACTTTGAGAGAGGCTTTGAGATACATAGGTATATACACAAACACATATTATACACATATAAATATATACATGTATATACACACACATGCACATTGGCTTTTAATATAACAAGCGATCTCTCAAAGTACCCCTCATGTCTTCTTAAAGCATCTCTCAAAGCACCCTCAAAGTATCCCTCACAGGCCCAGCATCCCTCCTCGGAGTAAGACCCCTCACAGTACCCCTCATGTCTTCTTAAAGCATCTCCACAGGCACCCTCAAAGTATCCCTCAAAGGCTCATTCAAAATGTCTCTCCAAGCATCCCTCGGAGTAGCTTTATTAAAAACGATCTCTCACAGTATCCCTGGAAAGATCTCTCAAAGTATTCTTATCTCTGCAACAAGTATAAAAATAAACAGCTTGCCGTCCAGATTCTTCGCCGCCGCGGGGGGTGGATAGGGTGGTGGCCTCGGGGGTTTTGTTGCCATGGTACTACCACTGCTACTGGTACTACTGCTATTATTGCTTCTGCTACTACTACTACTACTACTACTACTACTACAGCACTACTACTACTACTAACAGTAGTAGTACTATTTGTTTGCAGCCCGGATTCGAGGGCAGCAGCGGCTGCTTCTTCCCTTCGGGAAGAAGCTTCGGCTGCGACTTCGCCGTTTTTGGCCTTGGGTGGGGGACTAGAAGAAGTAGTAGTAGGAGTAGTAGCAGTAGTAGTAGAAGTAGTAGTAATAGTAGTAGTAGTAGTAGTAGTAGTAGTAGCAGTAGTAGTAGTAGTAGTAGTAGTAGTACTAGTACTAGTAGTAATAGTTGGTAGTAGTAATGCTGCAACTACTACTACAACTACTACTAGTGCCATCCGGATTCAATTCCTCAGCCGCTTTCGCCGGCGGAGCCGCTGGCTGTTGTGTCCTGCTGCTGCTGGTACTATACCGCACCCACACTACTACTACTACTACTACTACGACGACTACTACTACTACTACCCAGCAAGCCGCCTCCACCATGGTGGCGGCGGTTGCTGTGGAGGCCGAGGGCGGCGAGGAGGAGGCACCACCACACCACGAGGCACTGCTGGCCTCCCACCACCAGGTAAAAAAACTTGGCTGCCAGAAGAAATGCTGCCACCACCACCACCATATAAACATGGGCCAGCAGCAGCAGCGGCAGGAGGTGCTCGAGGAGGAGGTGCTGCTGCTGGTTGTTTTGCCCCGATGCCCGCCGACATAGAAGGATGCCCTTGCCGGGCATTGGCCTGCGACACTGCAAGCGGGTGTCGGGAGCACATACGTACCCCATTTAAGGCTTGTATAGCGGCGAGGAGTGCCTCCTGAGACTTGAAGGATAGGAATGCGGAACACATCTTATCCGGTCTGTATTGGCCGGTTCGCACCAGTTGCACTCGCACGCAGTCACGAAGCCCAAGCCGCTGCAGATTTTCGAAGATACTGGAGGACGTCGTCAAAAAGTCCAGGTTTCTTACGTAGCATCGGAAACAGTCGAGGTTGGCCATGGAAGTGGCTACAAAGTCCTTTCTACTACTACTGTGCTGTTGCTGCTGCAGTTGGTGCTGCTTTTGCTGCTGCTGCTGTGTGCTGCTGTGTGGAACACTGTTTTTTCTGTGCTGTTGTTGTGCTGCCGCTCTGAAGCTGCTTGCTGCTGCAGTAGTGTGTTGTTGTGTGCCCCTACTTAAGCTGTCTGCTGTGGTGCTGCTTGCTGTGGACGGTGTTTGCTGCAGTGTGTTGTTGTTGTGTGTTGGCACTGTTGTTGCTGTTGTTGCTGGCTTCTTCTTCTTGCCCTAAGACAAAAGGCCTGAAGCCAGACCTGCCGGGACTGGCTGCTTCCTCCGAACTACCATCTTCCAGATCCATACCGTATCCCTCCAAGTAGCAACTTCCTTTATTTGTGCTTCTCTTTCAGACTACAAACTCTCAAAGCATCCCCCTGCTTCTTGTTCCATCGGACTATAATAAGAAGCTCTCAGAGCATCCCTCGGATTCTGTTTCTTTTTCTTCGGGCCTGAGACATCTCTCAAAGTATCCCTCATCAAAGTTTGTTTCCTTCCGGCTATAAGCTCTCAAGGCATCCCTCAGTTTCTGTCTCTTTCTTCGGGCCTGAAACAACTCTCAGAGCATCCCTCGGATTCTGTTTCTTTTTCTTCGGGCCTGAGACATCTCTCAAAGTATCCCTCATCAAAGTTTGTTTCCTTCCGGCTATAAGCTCTCAAGGCATCATCCCTCAGCTTCTGTCTCTTTCTTCGGGCCTGAAACAACTCTCAGAGCATCCCTCGGATTCTGTTTCTTTTTCTTCGGGCCTGAGACATCTCTCAAAGTATCCCTCATCAAAGTTTGTTTCCTTCCGGCTATAAGCTCTCAAGGCATCCCTCAGCTTCTCTCTCTTTCTTCGGGCCTGAAACAACTCTCAAAGTATCCCTCAAAGTCTGTCTGTTTCCTTCGGGCTAAAAGCTCTCAAGGTATTATCCCTCATTAACCCCTACTCTACAACTCCCGGCGCTTTGTTTTCTTCCTCCGGGCAGCAGCTGCTTTCGGATTTCCGGGGGGCCCTCACTTCTTACCCGGCTTCTTCATTTTGCCCTTCATCGCCTTCATCGCTTTCGTGGCCTTCATCGCCTTCATCGCTTTCATGGCCTTCATCGCCTTCATCGCTTTCATGACCTCCTTCTTCGGCTCCTCCGAGCTTTTCTCATCCTTCTTGTTGTTCTCCTCCTTCTCGTCGGTCATCACGTTGTTGGTCTTCGGCGCCAAAGCTGGATCCCACTCCCAAATCTCGGAGATGGCATCCGCTGTATCGACGATCTTTTTCAATCTGTATTGGCCCCACACCTTTGTCCACTTTTTCACCCAAGTGGATGAAATCGTGTTGGACCTTTGCATGATGATGGCGGCAGAAAGTGGCGTCCTAGGAAGATGTCCTAGTGTGAGGCGATAACAGCAGCGGCAGTGTTGGCATTGTTTGTGGAGGGATACAAGAGGGCAGAGGGCTACTTAGAGGAGGGGACGTGCTGATGTTGTTGTCGTTATCTCTCCGAGCATCCCTCACAGTATTATTGATAAGCATCCCTCACAGTATTGATAACGAGTTATCTCTCCGAGCATCCTTGGTAGTATTGATGATGCTACGGGTGTGTTTTGTTGCTATTATCTCTCAAAGTATCCCTCGTCGAAGTCCCAGCCAACAAAACTTCAACTCAAAAACATCGGAAACTAGGCACAGCAAACTTCCACCAAACTTCGGGTTCCCGGCACAACAAACTTCGACCAAACTTCGGGTTCCCGGCACAACAAACTTCGACCAAACTTCGGTTTCCCGGCACAAACAACCGACGGAAACTTCGATCAAACTTCTGTTTACACCCCAGATCACAACCCGAAACTTCGACGCAGTTTCGTCGAAAGTTCGGGTTGCTGGGCCCCCACAAAACTAACTATATAGTTTGATTTTTGCCTATAATAGGCAAAAATCAAACTATATAGTTAGTTTTTGCCGCAAGATATATATCTTCTTTTTTTGGACTATAGTTAGTTTTCGTAGGTTGCGAAAACAAGCCACAAAACTAACTATATAGTTACTTCTTGTTTTTTCGTAGGTTGTGAAAATAATCTACGGCAAAAAATAGCCTAAGATAGTCTTAGGGGGATGACATAGCCCTGCGGTGTAGTGCGGGGAGTGCGCTGTCCTATAAAGGGCTGGTAGAAATCACCCGGCACCAGGGTCCTGTGCACATGTGCAGTGGGCACACCATTGACGGCCGCGTCCCAGCCCTGTTCGCGCCAAGTATTGGGCAGAACAAGTTCACATGTGGTATGTTGCGGGCGGAGCTGCATGGTGAGCGCTCCCTCAACTGCTCTGGCATCCCAGACAAAGGCGATTTGGGTGGGGTCATCATTGATGACAAACAGGATCTCCTGAAGATAGCCCAAGGTGGGGGGCTGAGCACGTGCCATGGTGAGAGTAGTGCTAGTGCTGAAAGGTCTGGTGCGAGCATGCTCCCTCAGAATGCGGAGCATGGCATCGTCAAGCCCATCGAATGGAGCTCTGACGTCCTGGCTGACTGAAAGATCTCCTCGGCACACAATCAGCCTGAGCGAGGGACCGTCCGGGGCATTGCCCAGGATGAAGGTCTCCGTGACCGTGGTAGTGGTGGACTCATGTGCGCCTGTCCCGCCAACGTAGCGCGGTCCATGCATAACCCTAACCTGTGCAGCGGCAGCTGAAACACGGCTGACACGGAAGTGCTGGACATCGGTCAGATCGTCCGGGAGGGCGAGGGCAACTGGGCCCAGGGAGTCATGCACATGCACCACTCGGGCCTGCCAAAGTCCTTCAATATCTGAGCCTGGGGGCAGGGCATTGCTGAGATCACGAAGTGCTGAGGCGGTAGTTTGCCCCTGCACATGCCGTAAGGTACGAATCGGCAATCCAAGTAGCCGGACATCCCAGGGGACGGGAAGCTCATTGGGCGGCCGGCCAAGACTAGCTGAGGCCGCGGCAAACCCTCGAGAGGGGCCGTTAAGACTTGTATGCTGTGCACCTGAAAGGGCGACCTACTGATCGCAAGGGCAGCAATGGTCGAGAGGTCAGCAAAAAGCGGACAGCGCTCGATAGTGTGATGGCGCTGATGATCGAAAACCGAGTATGATCCATCGGCACCTCTCAGGGTCAGTCCCCACTGGTGATCAGTGACTGGCTGCTCATAGGTAGAGGGCTCCCTGACAAAAGCCGGGATGTAAACAACATCTGCTGCCTCGGCTCGCTGTTCATCGGTCGGAGACAGACCATCTGCATCAAAACGAGCCCTGGGAGCTTCGACAACCAAGGCGGGCAGGAGGCAAGGGTCGTTTTGTCGAGCTTGCTGCCTGGGAGTGGCCTCAGAGTCATGCAGCAGAGAGTTGAGTGTTTGATTGAGCGCTTGTAGCTGGGCGGCTGCCGAAAGGGAGGCCTTGCGCAGCTCACATTGCACTGTTGGGGCATGCAAGACGGGACCCTGCAGTAGCACAACCGCATCATCCGGTTCTGTGGCTGCGGCAGGTGCTGGCGGCTGCCCTTTCAGGAACTCAAGCATGACTGGAGGTGGCTGCAAGGCTTGCATGGGGGTGTCGTCTGGCAAAGCAAGCTCAAAATGCTGGCTCGGCAGCCTACTTGCGGGGCACGTGTGCATGCATTGGGCCACAAGGAGGTCGCTGGCTGCCGGCAGTGCCAATGCAATGGTGCAGATTCGGCCTTGGGCTGGTCTCAGGTCAACAGGGGTGACCCATGTGCCTGCCGGATCCTCTCGTTGACGGGCAACAACTTGGAGGGGCGGTAGCCCTGCTAGCCGACTCTGCAAGAATCGGACGCTGCTGATCCGGGGCCTGGAGCCGAGCAAATCGGCCACCACTTCGTTGATCGTTGCACCGAGAGGCAGTGGCTTCGTTTCGACGTGGGCATCCGTAGTGAAAACCACGTATCTATCCCGAAAGGACTCATCAGCAACAGCTCCAGAGGCACGGCCTTCGTGAGTCCACCTGAAGGATGCCAAAGCAGTGTTGCGAAGTTCCGGTCGGTCGAGATGCTCGGGCAGCACCTGAACACGAGATGCCAACTGCATCCTCAACTCCGTGAATCGAGGGAAACCTCCCGGGCGACTTTGCCCTTGGAGGGGGGTGGCTGTGGCCAAGGCTCGACAGGAACCGTCCTTGAAACCAAGCTGACAGGATGGTCGATGCGGCAGGAGGCCTGGTGGCGGCCGGAGGTGCACGCTAGGGTCCGACAGGGTACCGCCCTTCGCGTGGAGAGGTGGTCGAGGAAGATCCGCGGTGAGCCTGGAGCCGACCTGGAAAACCTTGACCTGAGGCTGTTCCGTGAAACACACCGTTCTTCTAGGCTGTACATCCTGTGGCGTCCTATGTACAGTCGCTGGCCTCACGCATGGGCTCGAAGTCCTCTCTCTGGGCTCTCCGTCTCGACCTCCTACTTCGTCAAGTCCACAGACGCTACTCCCATCGTAGCCGCGGATTCCTTGGAACGTAGAAGAGAAGAGACCGGGTCGCCCAGAGAAGGAGGCTGCGCCACATGCGGGGTCACAACGAGTTCGAGCTGTTACGGCTTCAAGGCTGGCGGGGCAAGTCCAAGCTGTGTTGTCCCACCGTTTGTCTCGCCAGAAGGTCATAGTGCTGTGCAGGTGCTGTGGCAAGCTCTCCTGGCAGCAAACTTCGTAATGCATGTTCAGGGCCGTCCACCGACATGTGATAGGTCCTGAGAAATCGGGCTCGTTCATGATGCTGTGCGTAAAATCAACCTCGTCATTAAACGAAGGAACATAGTTCGGCTCACAGACAACTCGGAAGCTTGAATGTGAGCCTAGCCAGGGGGCGTAGGCTGCTGCTGCGAGGCATTGGGCCCAAGCTTGAAGGGCGTAGCCGCCGTTCCTGGTTTGTTTTTGTCTGCATCTTCTTGCTCCTCGACTTCGATAGGTTCGCCCTTTCGTCTTGGCGTGCGAGAGCCTTCTCTCTTGTGCACGCTGAGTTGTTGACTGGCCTGGGCCATGGCCGTCTGCAAAGCGGTCTGCATCTGCTGGACCGATAGCTGCTGTTGTTGTTTTTCCGTTGCCATCCGTGCTTCTGCTTCGGCTTGCGCCGATACTAGATCTTCGGAGTCCAGCATGTTCTGGTCCGCCGCATCTGTGTTGCCATCCGCCGCTGTCAACCGCGATAGCGACTGGGTGGCCTGTTGTTCTGCAGCCAACCATTCCAACTCTGTCTGGTTGAAGTTGTCGAGGGCCTTGCCTTGGTCCGATATCTGCTGGGCAAGGAGGTCGGACACTTGTTTGACATACTCTTGCCATGCCTGCAAGTAAGCAATGCGGGCTGACCTGAGTTTGCCCAACTCTTGTCGGGCCCGCGACTGATCGGTCACGGCCCTGTGCAGGGTTCTCGCCGTGTGCTGCGTCGAGTTCTGCTGGAGCTCTGAAAGGAGCACCTGAGTCGACTCTGGAAGCGAAGCAACAGACCCGGAAAGGGACGCCACAAGGGCATCCAACTGCGCCCGCTCTGCACTGATCGCCGCGCCATCGCTTGCTCCCTTCTTGGGCCCAGTCGGTGTCGTCATACTCGGTGGCACTGGGAGCTGTTCCATTCTTGGAGCAGCGGGAGGAGGCGCTGGGACTTGTCCAGCCTGCTTGCCCTTGGAGTCGCCTTTCCCGGCAGGGCCCGGGCCTTTGGGCTTGTTGCCCTGTCCACGCTGCCGGGGGGATTTCGGTCGCCGAGGGGACGGGGCTCTCCATGGCCTGGCGTTCTCCGGTTCCGTTCTGGTGTAGTGGGACCCACAGGCACGCTTCCAGTGGGTGCCACATTTTTGGCAGTATTCTGCCGTTACACGGCACATCTGCCCGCACGTGCACTTCCAGGAGGTCATAGTCGTAGTAAGCTTCGGCAAGACACTCTTGGAGTGGTGGTGTTGCAAGAGTCTCCTCGCAACAAAGAGTCTTGAATCGGTGGGCCTGACCAGTCCAGTGACTGCTGAACGTAGTATCGTACGAGCCCACGTACGTTTTCGCCGATTTCGGCGGTGCCACGCTGGCTCGGAATCCAGACCCGTGGCTCTCAAGAAGTGGCTGCTGCCCGGCCGCAATGATAAAAATCAGAGCCCAGAAGCACATAGAACACCTCAAGAGTCAAAACTTGGGCAATGCCCTGTCCAGCCACGCAGGGGACAATGCCAAACGCACCTCCACTCCGGGTACAGTGCGCTGGCTCGCTGTTGGCTCTCCGGCCAAAAGTTGTCGCGGGCGCTGCAAATGGCGCCGCGCGTAGGGTACGTCGGCCCGGGGCGTTCCTGATTGGGAAAACCCTGAGCCGAGACGCCTAGGTTTAGGGTTTAGGGTTTAGGGAAAAAGATTAGGGTTTAGGGTACAGGGTTTAGGGTTTAAGGTTTAAGGTTTAGGGTTTAGGGAAAAAGTTTAGGGTTTGGGGTATATAGGGTTTAGGGTTTGGGGAAGAGGGTGTAGAGTGTAGGCGGTATGGGGTTTACGGCTTAGGGTTCAGGGTATAGGGTATAGGGTTTAGGGGTTTCCGTCGAGGCTTGGGGTTGAGTCTGAACAGCCTCCAGCCCTCAAGACCCAAACAGATACTGTAGGAACCTGATTAAGAAACCCTGGGCCTATAACCCCAAAGGTCCAAAATTCTTAATCAGGTTCCTAAACCCTAAACCCTACTTTACCCACAGCTCGCGTTCCTGCCTGCACCACTGGGAGGTCGCTACCGAACGTGCGGAAGACCACAGAAAAGCTGCGGCCCTGCATTCGGGATAGCATGTCGGCTTTAGGGTCTATGTAGGGTTTAGGGATTAGGGGTTTGGGGTTTAGGGTTTAGGGTATAGGGTTTAGGGTCTAGGGGAAGTGCAGGGTTTAGGGTTTGTAGGGCAACTATACTTATAACCCATATTAGGGGACTTATAACCCTACTATTAACTACCCATGAACCTCCAAGTAGGCTGCAGGAGACAACTCCCGCGACGGGACCTGTCCTGCCGGGTAGAGCCATCGGTTCTGATAAAACGGTCTTTAGGCTCTGTGACTTTAATGTAGCGGCCTTAATGCTTAGAATAGGGTCTTGGGGCCCATTATACTATAAATGAGTATAACAAGAAACCCCCAAAACTACAGTTGTGGTAAGGCATGTCGAGGAACACTCTTGGCAATGATTCCAATCCGCATATTACCCATAATCTCCATATTATGTATTAGTATTTCCTTTTGTGGTTACCTTACCGGCCCCAAACCCTAAACCGAAACAGGAATTGCAATGGAGACTATGTAACCCTAAACCCAAACCAAAAACTGAAAACCCTAAACCCTAAACTCAAAACTGAAAACCCTAAACCCCAAACTGAAAACCCTAAACCCCAAACTGAAAACCCTAAACCCAAAACTGAAAACCCTAAACCCAAAACTGAAAACCCTAAACCTTAAAATATAGGTAACTTTTGGGAGCCTCCTTGAGCCTGCTGGAAGTCAGAAGCTGCAGGGGCCCAAAGATCCCAATACCCCTTAATTAAGGAATATAGCTTAAATCATAACATGAAGCCCTATATGACTTAAGCCCTAAACCCTAAGCCTTAAACCCTAAGCCTTAAACCCTAAACCCTAAGCCCTAAACCCTAAGCCCTAAACCCTAAGCTATATTCCTTAATTAAGGGGCCCCTTGGGCTCTCTGGGGGATTCGGAAATTGGGGGGGTCCTTTGGTCTAAAGCTTGCTTCAGGGAGTTATCCCGTATTTCGTGGTGCCAAGGTGTTGTCGAGGGCTTCCCTACACCTTGAACCTTTAGGGTTTAGGGTTTAGGATTTAGGGTTTAGGGTTTAGGGTTTAGGGTTCAGGGAGATTCTTAAAACTTGGTCAGGGCCCCCAAAAACGCCAAAGCCAACCCAAATACCCGTCCAAGAACCCTGACAGAATCCTAAAAGAACCCGATTATAGAACCCTATAGTACCCTTAAAGGACCCTCTTCCAGAACCCTTAAAGGAACCCTTGGAAAGTGCTTTCCTGCAAGGCGAGCTGTGAGACCAGTTCGAAGAACGCTGGGATCCTCGGAAGCTTCGAAACAGGCTTGCTTAGAGGTCCAGGGGACTTAGCACGTAGGTTCCTTAAAGGGTTCCTTAAAGGGGGTCTATAAGGTTCTGAAAGGGATCTATAAGGGTTCTATAAGGGGGATTAAGGTTACTTAGAGGTCCAGGGGGCTTAGCAAGTAGGTTATAAGTAGGGTTATAAAGAACCCTAATTGGAGTTACCCCAATTATAATATGATCCTACTTATAGCCTACTTACTAAGTCCCTGGGCCTCCAAGTGGGGCACAATGCTTTTTGCTGGGGATACGGGCTTTAGGGTTTAGGGTTTGGAGTTTAGGGGTTAGGGTTTAGGGGTGTAGGGTTTAGGGTTTCGGGGTTTAGGGGTTCAGGGTTTAGGGGTTTAGGGCAACATGCTTTGGGCACAGTGCTTCATCAGTTTGGGGTAAGGTTTCGGAATAAGGCTTCGGACTTAGGTTTCGGACGACCTTAAGCCACAATTCGGCCGAGGCCCAGGACCGTAATTAGTCCATAACTGAGGAAAACAAAACACATGCCCACGCTGGAGAACCCCCTGCCTTCAACAAGCAGGTGGCTAATGGTGTCATAAGTAGTCGGTGGGACCAGCCCCACGTCCCCCTCCGCACAGCGCAACGATCAAGTTGTAGTTGTGTACGTAGAACGGCATGTGGCGACGAGGGTCACCTCGTCGGCCAGTCGCTGATCGAAAATGTCCGGACTTGTTGTCACCACGAAGCCTGTACGCTGTTGAGTCTGGAACCTTCTCCATGACAAAGTTTCGGTTTCTTTTTGCACAGCCCTCGCCCGGGGTTTGCAGCAATGGTGGTAATTGCCGTCTGAAGCGACGACAGTATCGTCTCCGCTTGCACTGAGCTCTCAATGCTTGCCATGAAAACGACAATCGCAAGGCGCAATTGCCAAAGGCTCAGACTCAGCAATCGGTCCTCTGTGCAGGGTTATGGGTTTGAGGTGCGAGGTGCTAAGGAAATGTTCGAGCTGATAGCTTTGAGGATGTAGCTTCAAAATTGGGCTCTTAGATTTCCAAGGCATTTCAATTTTTTGGAGCAAACCCAGCCATAACCCTTCCTCATGTAAACCTAGAGCCGCATACAAGACGCTCTTAACACGGCTGCTAGAAATTGGTCGTTGCAAACCGTTTCTTGAAGAAAACGGAGTCGACAAGAGACGAGAGGATCGACCCCAGATCAATATACCGCCTTCTGTGCCAGGGCTGTACACTACGAGGACCCCATTCCCCTGTAGAGACTGTATTATGTGGCTGGGCTCATCAATCAGGGGTCTGCATTGCACCTGGACCTTGCTTTTAATCTGAAGCGCGAGGCCTAAATCCCTAAGCCCTAAACTCCTAGTGCCTAAGCCCTAAACCCCTACGACCTAAGCCCTAAACCCTAAACCCTCCACCCCAAAGCCCCTAAACTCAAAACCCTAAAACCCTAAACCCCAAACCCTAAACCCACAACCCTAAACCCTAAAGCCCTCAACCCTAAACCCCTAACCCCTAAAACCCTAAACCCGAAACAACCGTACACCCTAACCCTAGGGATCTAAGGACTCACATATTAGGGCTTCTGGGCCCAGAGACCATACTACGGTTGATGATATAGATCCTGCATTACCCATCATAGGGAATATGCCAGAATTCCCATACTTTAGGGTCCTTAAGGTAATGCAGGATTTATATCATCAACCGTATAGAAGGCTTTCGGGCTATTTTGATCCCTAGGGTAAGCCGGGACCCGGACACCATCTTGGTTCCCACCATGCGGCCTTCGCCTTTCAAGGCGTCCTCCGACAGAACGGTGTAGTGTTCGGTTTAGGGAGTTTACGGGATTTAGGGTTTAGGGTCTAGGGTTTGGGGTTTAGGGTCTAGGGTTTAGGGTTTGGGGTTTAGGGGGCCTGCGTATATAAGGCTTCTATTGGGTAAGCATAGGGTCGAAGGTCTAGGGCTCTCGAGGCTTTGCAGGCATAGGGCTTTCCTGTGACTCCGAAATCCTACTGTTGAAATTGTAATCCTGGATCATGAACTCAATGGGCATTTCCGACTGTTGTAGGAGTTTCAGAGGTTTTGAGCCTGTAAGCTTATCTGGTTGCCGACTCCGCGGTGATGTCGTTGTGGCGCTCATACTTCCAGGCCACGCATGCTACCACGGTGATGTCTTGCATGACAGACAGCCCAATTCTCGCTCTTGACGTGGCTTGGAGGTTTCCTAGGAATCTCACCAGCGGTTTATCGTTGCGTTATACTTCTGTTTTTGGCAGGGACGTGTGCCTTTAGAGAGCCAAGCTTACTCCTGAATGGGGAAGCAGTGCTCGCGGTACGTTATAAATCGACGTGTCATTATCATTTCATGAATTAGGTTCAATTAGAGTAGGGGATGTATTCAGGTTTGGTCGCCTGTTATCGTTTAGAGCTCATGAGTTTGGGGCTTGGTTTTGCAGAGTTCGACGATGGAGCAGGCTACTACTCATTACGGTTTCTAGTTTCTAATGTTCCAAAACTGTGAGAGCAATACCTCTGAAGATGCACTTGGGTGGTTGTCAAAATTAGGGCTCCTTTTTGGGTACCCTAAATATTAGGTGCCGTATTATAATAGGGACCAAAAAAGGGACCCTAATTTTGACAACTACTCACTTGTTTTGCAAACACGTGCCTGAGGCCCAGAGCCCAGCCCGGCATCACAGGCGAAGTCCAATCAATGGAAGTTAAACCTTCACAGGCGCCAGCCCATTAGTGCCCCAAATTCCCCGAAACCATGAACCCTAAACAAGATCGCTGTTATTTGAGAGGTCAATAGTACCAACATTAGTAT